CGGAGGAACTAACACCACCAACAACATCAATCCACAAACAAAGTGCAGATGACGGGAAATGGGCAAGTGGTGAGCGGCCAAAGTAATCCGCGGTAAATTCCCGGAGTGTAAGATTACGAGTTTTCTCAGATCCAAATAGTGTCAATCTGCGATTATGGGTCTATGTTAAAGAATGTTTTCATTATTTTATACTTGATATGCAAGTCTAAAACATGCAACATTCTCTTCTACCAAAAAAATCTATTTTATTCTATTATGTTTTATTTTTATTATTTTATTATTTCCCTTCTACGTGACTTTACCGAAATTACCAAGAAGATGAATCCCTGCGGTCACGAAAGCTTTAAATCGAAATTTAACCACCTCTACAGGGAGGGATTCCACGTAACTTTGAGATCCTTCAACAAACTCTGGGATAAGAAGACTCAGCTAATCGAGTCTCTCACCTTTCTGAAGAGATGCCGCGACTCTAAGCTTAAACATACGCTGCCAAGCTTGGTGGTGTTCATTCGGACGCTGTCTTTCCAACAGCCCTGTTCTTCACCTGAGGACGGCTGCTTGCGTTGTGGCCGAAACGTCGTGCCAATTTTATTCTATTATGTTTTATTATTTTATTATTTCCCTTCTATGTGACTTTACCGAAAGAACCAAGAAGATGAATCCCTGCAGTCACGAAAGCTTTAAATAGAAATTTTACATTTCTCTCTGCAGCTCCGTGAATAACTTCACAGAGCTCGCATGGCTAGAAAGCCAGCGGCCTCTTTGAAATGCGTATCGCTTTGACAACAAAAATATTACGTGAATACAAATGACAACAAGGTAATACAATTATAATGAAATTAGAATAACTTGTTATAAACTACGGATGCCAACAAACGTGGCGCGGAATATGAGAGGAATTAGCCGCTCCCGGAAGAGTTCCAGAAATCCACGATGTTTGTAGATTAGAGCACCATAAACAGTACATGTATATTGACACATATACACGCTATTTGCATTAAACAACAGTCAATTATAACGTGTGCCAACTCATTAGTCAAACAATTTAATCTTACACTCGAATTTGGACAGGTCTTATCGAAGGCTGGTTTAAGTATTCGACTCATAATCGGGTGTTGAGTTTAAATGTAGTGTCTCGCCTGGTTTTACGTAAAGAGACTTTCGCATTGGTCGTAGGAATTTAGAATTTACACCACTGGCTCAGGACCAACAACGGTGATGATCACTGCCACACATTTCCATGAAGCACGAAGGGCATTTGGGAAGATACTCTTTGTGTTTTGGTAATTCCCCCCAAAAATACTACGCAGGCAGCGAAAATTATCTGACAATTGCACCATGGATTCCACGCAAACTGGCCTGTATGTATGTTGAACTTTTTTCGCAGCGTGCGTAGCTACCCGTGCAAATCGGAGGTGCGGTTAATTTAATCCGTGTCTAGATTGGGCTGTCCACCCTAATGTGCTGCGCTGTGTGTCTGAACCTTGAGTGTGTTGTGGCAGTACGATATGACACACGCGTTCTAATTAGTAACATCAATTGGCATTGACTCAGACGCATTGCTGTGTCCAGCATCTTGCTGCAAATAATTCCCGCACGTCAATTTGATGCAGTGCAGGCTGGGTGTGTGGCTGTAGTGACACACTTAAAGCACGTTGAACGTGATGTCCCAGTGGGCAAGCTGTACTGATGTCAGGATGGTTGCACAGTCTAGAGTTTGGAGAGAGAAAAAATAAAATTCACTGTCCATTACTCCATAATAATGCCATCAAAATATCTGTTTAATACATTTTGATTATTAGTCACCGTATGAGCGAGTGAACACGTTTTGCTGTGTGCACATGGACTGCTTCCAGCTCATAATGTTTGACATTTACCGCCTCTGGTGTAATCTATATTTTAACCAGTGGTGACTAAGTGCCCATATAAATCGTTTCTCAAGCACACAAGCCATGAATATTACAGCAGCAACAACAACAACAAAGAGCACTGTACGCTACATGTATAGAAAGTCGAAGGGGTTTCTCCAGTGGACGTGTGGATGTGGCCTTCAACAAAGTACTGCACCGAGCCAGCAGTAGGGCTCTGACCTCTGAGGTCAGACAAAAAAAACTGGGACATATCGTAGGAATGAGAAGACAGTATACCATAAGCGGGGAGAAGTATTTCTGCAATACATTTGTCTTGAGAGGCACATTATGTATTCTGCAACTGAAACTGGGATTTGTCAACAAGTCCTGGAAGAAAAAAACAACCTCTTATGGATAATATTGGTCGCGAAAGCCTACGTGTTAAACTGCAGTCCTCGAAATGCTTGCACGGCAGCCACATCAAGAGGAGGGCACTCATGGGAAAACCAGGATAGGTGGCAACCCTAGCCAGTGTGTGGTAAGAATTACCCCATTGTTATGGCAGAACAAAGTCCACAACCATCGTGAACTCCCGCAGAAAAGTGGAGTGCTCATTTTTTGTGAACTCCAGAGGGATGATGGTCTGAGTTGACCTCTGCATGTGATTTGACCATCTCATTACAAGTGCAACGTTCTAAGCACTGTAGCAGACCTGACTAATCATCATCATCTCAGCATCATCAATTTTTTTTTATTCTCTGTTGGATGAAGGCCTTCCAATGCCGTTGCCACCCCTCATGATCAAGTGTGTCATTTTAGCACTCGTGATGTCATTGCGAAGTCACTCCCATACATATTCGTTCAACATCAACACAGTGATATCCCTAAAGGCCATGCTTTACTGTAACTATAAAGTATGTTTTTAATCATCAACTAAGCTTCAAACTCACGTGGGACAGTGGGACACCCAGCCGACGTATGTGTCCACTGGATATATTTCATTAAATAAATTTTTCTATCGTGAAAAATTATAAACGCAGCTGCCACACGTGGTTTAGCTGCACGCCGAAATCCTAGTCTCGGCATTGGCTGATTGAAAAGGGTCATTCAGATTATATTTAAAATGACTTGTTAAACCTAGCGACAGTTATGAATCACGTCCCACGCGTGCACCGTAGAGCTGGCGTGGAAAGACTGCATTGATCACTCTCCCTGTTGTTTTAGTCTTGCTGTTGTTGGCAGCTACAGTGTTGGTATTACCCCTGGGAATGTTGTGCATTAGCAGTTGAGACCCGTCCTACACGTAGGCAGTGCAGCAGCGAGCTACAGGCAGGAGGGTGGTGATCACTGTTACATTGCTTATGGCTTTATTTTGGTGATTTCGAAAGCGTTTTTTTTGGTTTGGCCATGTTTGTTTGTTGTAGTACGGAGTTAGAATGATGGCTTTAATCTAAGTTGTCTTGTGGTTGTTGTTGGTGTTTGACTTGCATCCCACTGGGATTTTTGCACAGCGTTGGTGTACGGTGCTTTTTTCTGGAGGACTTTGCAGTTTTTTACTGGTTTTTTCTGTTTGCGCATAGTCACTTTAAGATGTTTTCTTGTTTTTGTTTTTTGTTTGTTGCGGTTGCACCCGATTCAAGAGCCGAATGGCTCACAGGGCTATACCAAATAAATGAAACTGAAAAAAAAACTGATAGATTCAGACTTGTAAGAATTTAGGCGAGGACTTTTGAAATTGAACCACAGAAGCAATTAACATCTCATTGTGTTTGTATTGTGCAACATGTTCACAGAACCGCATACGTGTGTTAGTCATTAAATGTCATCCCTGTGTTTGCTTTGTAACACTAAGTCGAATTCCAATTAAAGGCTTTGCATGCAATTCAAATAGTGTAATCAAGAGTCCTGTTTCTCAGGGACAATCTTAATGAGTATTTTTTTTTTCAGGAGGATCTTGTGTGAGATGCTTCGCCCATTTGAATGCAGCGAGACTCGTGTCAATCGTGGCCAAATTCACTCCCCTTACCCATGGAAAATTACGTCACCCACAAATGGATTATTGCTATTATCCGTGTTATCTCTGTTGATCGGCCAAAGTCGTCCTTTTTACTGCAAATAACCATGCGAATTATTTTTGCGGTAATCAAAAAGTGCCCCCACATATGAATATGGATGAAGTGTTTCAAAATATTGTACTGTGTGGCAAGAAACCGGGGTATCCAGGGCGAGACCCACACACATACGAGTCGATAATACTCAGTGGTCTGCACAAATAGGTCAGCAGCCTGCATGCTGGAATTACCCTCATCAGGCCACCTCATCGCCCAATAGGTGGGTGACTCATGCTCGCTGATAGTCTCTGTGTGGTCCACCAACCCCTCTGCTAGGATTTTCTGGATTAAATCAGTTTGCCACTGTGAACGGCGGCCAAGCTAAGAAGGGAAAATAAAAGTGACGTTGGGATAGCTCGTCTAAATGTAACTGTGTCGTTAACCAACCACCACCCGACACAGCCAATGATTAAGGTTTGTCACGACAATAAAACGTGGAAATTAGTTGCTCTCCAACACACCAGGGTGCTGAAGTACTCTCCAACACACCGGGGTGCTGAAGTACTCTCCAACACACCGGGGTGCTGAAGTAGCAACTAATTGGCACGTTTTGTTAACGTGACAAACCTTACTACTTGGCTGTGTCGGTGGTGGCGGGTTTAACACCGCATTTATATGTACGCGATCTAACCCAACAAAAACCTCCATTACGGACAGGTCACTTAGATCATAGTGCAGCACACTAACCACTGCTCCACCTTGCATACCACACGCAAAATAAGTCAAGATCCCATCTCTCTTCAAATACATGGTGTGTTTGATCATCTTTGTTGATCTCGTGTGATGAAACTTTCCATTTCTGTAGTGGAGACAGACTATTGATTTGCCAGATTAGAGCAATTCTGGCTAAAGGAATGACTACGTATTTGAGCTCACCTCCATGTTTTCAAATGACCTGATTTGTCTCTTGTAACGAGTGACGATTGACCTAAAGAGGATGGCCCTCTTTTAGGCACGACCGTGCTGAACAGCTGATGATGATGATGATTGCCACTGCTGCTGATGATTATTCTAATGAATCACACTTCTTTTTCGACAGGCCTGTGAAGCCAAGTACTGTAATTACCACAAGGATGGTTTCAGCAGGCCTTTCACGTAAGTGCAATGATCGGTGAGTGCTTGTGATGTGCGCACAGCGTTGCGGGGCGCAAATTGCTCGCACCTCTTAAATGGAAGCCGCTTCTGAAATGGTGGCATCGCTGCTCAAAGGGGACACACGCTGAATTGTGCGCGGTTACGGAAGGGGACCGGCGCCATGTGAGTGAGGTGTGTGGATGGCCCAGGGCGGTACGGGGCACGGGGCAGGGAGGGCGAATGTCCTCGTCACCGTACTGAGCCAGCGCTGCTGGGATCCTGGTTTCGGATTGATGGCAGCCATCCATGATTAAGTCCGCATTGTCATCTGTGACGAGTCAACGGTCTCACCCGGTTATCTCGTTAATGCGTAACAAAAAAAAAATGCAATCTTCAAAATCGACCTTTCTACAAATTTTTTTACATTAACATTCGTACTCACGTTCTGGCCCATGTGATGTGGACTAACCTCCATTGAGTGCGACGGAGCACGTTACAGTATCATAAGGCATGAGGGGTTTTTATAGGCGCGACTCCACGAGTAATCTGTGGTTTCATATCCCAGGAATATTCCCTAATATGATAATGCGTTTCTCTGCTGGCAGAACGAGCTACAAAATTATGTTCATTATATTCATGACATGATTGGGTACAACAGCAAGTTTGGAATATTACTCGACAGTCAAAATATACAAAAGCACTTTCCTGCTCAGCTGAGTGCGTGGCAGCATACATTTCTTTTGCGCAGCCACAAGCAAGTGGTGGAAATTCCACGTTTCTATGGCAGGGGCGAAGCTATCTATAACGACAACCGCCATGTTCGTCCCACAAAGTGGTAATTTTATCCACTCCAGATGATCGAACGACTTGAGTCCATCGTTGACTAGACTTTGATCTTGTGGCCTTCTGAATGCGAGACATACGCCTATCCACTGTCCCACCTGATTGATTATAGAATATGACTGCTGCCCGTGATTCAAAACATCGTAGGGTTAAGTGAGATATAAGCAGGGGTGGAATGATGTATCCATTCATTCATTGATTAATATCTATATTTAAACTGATGATCCAAGTTCACAATGGTGATTGTTAGATAATGTGTTATATGTACGGCAATCGGCTCACATTATCTCTACACCCAATAAACCCTGCACGGAGATGATGTAATCTTTAAAAAAAAAATCAGATCGTGACTTAATTGGAGACAATTCATGGAATTTCATGGGGCGGTGGGGGTGAATAATTCCACCCTTGTGATATAATACACTATTGCAGCTGTTACAGCCAAAGTCTCCAAACAACCATCTGTCGCATGCGGAGACTGACGCACAGTTGAGGGCAAAGTCGCTGTAGCATTGTTACGTTGTGTGCAGCGCTCCGTCAAAAGAGGTTCATATGGAAGGGGAGCCATGGCAACGTGACAAATGTTACATGAGCTGAGCATCTGTGTGAAGCTAAGGCAGTAAACACAGTGCCTATCATTTTCAAATGGAGGGGACAGGCAGGGTGGACAGGTGTTTTTGTTGTTGCCAATATATAGGCAGCCAATTCTCTGGACGATGCTTGCTGCTTCTCCGGTTCATGGAAACCGATTTGTCTTGCCCTGGGTAGTGCAGCATCAACCTGTTGACTGGGAAAGCGTATTTTTTCATGATGGTACATATATTTTAATCAAAAGTTTTAATCACTTTCAACGTTTAGAAAATGCTTAATGCGACCCTAATATAGGAGGAGTTAAAGCTTCATTGGCGGTGTGGATTTATTACTTGAAACACTGCCCTGTGAAGCAATACCTGACCAGCAGTGGAGTGCCCTGATTCTAGCGTCACGTTCTGGACCCGCCCTTACTGGACATGTGTGACAAAGAGCTTCATAGCTCATCGGATTCCTCCAGTACAATTAAATATTCTGATTCTGCTTTGCTCGCAAATCGAAATTCATGAGTTCGTTACCCGGTCGGGGATCAAATTCACCTATCACCTATATAGGGCCCAATCAGTACCACTTTGTTTAAAGTCAAAGTAGCTAATACTATTGAAAAAAACTCTTCATGGTACATGGGATTATTTTAGATGGATAGAATACGTTTGTATCCACGTCCTCTCTCACGGGATACATTGCAACATTGTGACGTTCCTTGGGCGGGTAGTCCCCGGGGCATTGGTGGCATCGGAACACACCGGACCGGCATTTGGGATTATGTTAGGTGTTAATTTGGAGCTTTCGTGACTGCAGGAATTACTCTTTGGTTCTTTCGGTAAAGTCACGTGACTTTACCGAAAGAACCAAAGAGTAATTATGTTAGGTGGCCAGGAGATGGCAGTTCAGCAATGAATGTGATCACATCGCGCTGTGCCCACGCGGTTGTTGGGTTTTCTCTGGATACTCTGGGTTCCCTCCTACATGTCAAACACCTTTTTAAAAATGTGATTGACCAAACACACACCAATTGCAGAGTGCTCCTGAAACAGTGTCTCGATACTCGGGTAAACTGTTGTTTTCCTGGAGAGAGGATATTATTGCAGTAAAATAGCAACGGTACTGTATTTGATTTGATTGTTCACTTTTCAGCAACCATTATGAAATAACCCAACCAATATGGTGTAATTTTACGGCAGTCCTGTACTGTATACATTTAAATATGTATTTTTATTTTCAGAATAATTGCAGTACATATTCCAAAGCTAGCACAAGCATAATGCACAGGTTGCCGTTAAAAGAGAGAGCTTAGAAAATGAAGATGTTACTGCTTTGTAAAATGACTTCACACAACACATTAATTATACGCCACTTTGATTTTTAAAGTGAAGTAGGCTTGGTCTTTGATAAACTCTCAAGTGAGCATGGCCTTTGTGGTTTACTTAATTGATTTATAACCGTAGTCAGTGGAGTTTAATTAACCCCCCCATGTTATTTTGAGGTGCTATTGATTTAGACTTGGGGAAGTAGTAATCTGCGGAAGATATAAAACTGAACAATTTTTTTATTTTACCAAGTAAGGCCCACTGAGAAATATAGCTCTTTTTTAAGAAGTGACCTGGCCACAAATGAAAGCTCAACAAAGTGGCTTTTCACGTGGAAATGTATAGCAGCCAAATACTCTTAGAGGCATGTTTCTAAATATCGAGGGATAAACCTCAGAACCCGCAGAAAAATCCACACCACCACGGGGAGAGAGACATGCAAACTCCAAATATACAGGCATGACGGTCTTTATCGAACCCACAACCTCCTGCATACCAGGCAATGTAGTTAACATCTCGCCACCGTGGATGCACACGCAGACACGTTCTGCCTTCAACGTCATTTTCAGGCTCTGATAAGATGGCTCATAGGCCCAATGATGAGGTCACTGAGCCAGCATCCTTGAGATCCTGGGCTACAATCCCTCGCCTCTCCCTCCGCTCAGTAATGGCTGCACACTTTGAATGTGCTTTTGAATTTACTGCCATTCGTGTTTTTTTCCCTCAATATTTAATCTTTGTGGATGAGATAAAAGAAACACCTCGGCCACTTTCTTACGCAAATACCATTTTACCAAAGCTTTTTTTTCAGTAGCTGCAAAAAATGAACTACAGTGCAGTGCACGTATTGCCTCGATCGAATCGATGCGCCTCCCTGCCAAAGCGAGCATTGGGATGCAGTGCTGCTATCCCTCGGGTCGTTACCACAGCTAACTTCCCACAGTGGTACCCATTTTATTGATCCCAGAGGGATGATGGGCTGCATTGACACCCGACTCAGATGTGAACTGGCAACCCTACAATTGTGAGACAGGTGCTTGTTACTAGAGCCTACCGGGCCTGATATTCCCCCCCCCCCCGCTGCAGAGAGAGATACACACCTATATTTGTTATGTTTCTCGTCTGTTAATGTGCGTCGTGTTTACTTTTTGCACCTTCACTTCCTGCTCCCTGCAGGTGCCCCCCGTACGAAGATTGCTGTGGGAAAAAGTGTTGCGTCCGCGTGATTTCCCTCTACCGCATCTGGTATTTCTGGTGAGAGAGCGCGCGCACGCAGACGCACGCACGCACGCACCACTACCCCTTCTGTTGTTCCCATAACGGCGGGCGACCGCTACACTTGCTGGCTTCACACCGCCGCCGCCATCGTCTCATCTTTAATCTCGCCTAAGCGAACGGGTTTTCGCGCGGAAACTCTTTGTGAGACATTTTCACGTCCTCGTGGAAAGACTGTGAAAGTGGCTCACAAAAGTGGCCCTTCCCACAGCGCCTGCGCGATCTGCGGTTGCACTTTCTGCCGGCGTGCGAGCGCCTTCCCTCCCGCGTGCGCTTGCTGCCAATGTGCTCTTGGCGATTGCTTCGCCGAGAGGGAAAGGCTCGTGCTACCGACGAAGGAGTTGACCTCTTTGGCGTCTGCGTTGACATTGCGCAGAAAGCGCACTTTAAAGTCATTTGAGTTTCCACCGTGTTGTCGGCAATGAAAAACGACTCTTACCCGCGATCCGTAATTCACAAAAATTAAACAAGCTATTTGGTGATGCTGCATTGGTAGTGGTGCACAAACACAATTACAAAACACTTTCGACAATAACACTGCTTAAAATAAAATATATATTAGGTGACATATCAGACATTAGCCCTTCTCCATTACATATGAAGAAGGACCATTACCCAAAAACATTGTGCATTATATATATTTGTTATATATTATGCATATAGGCAGTGTTATTGACGAATGTGTTGAGGTTTTTTTGTTATCCACAAATGCAAGGAATCATTAACCCATTATCCGCAGCTAATGAGTTGATGATATGCAAGTCAACCCGACTCTGCGGATGACTGAGTCATGGATTAAAAGAATCCCAAGAGCAGAGAGATTTCATTTTATTGATGTACTCATGCAATTCGTACTTAAATATTTCACTTATTTTTATTTCGTCACTTGTTTACCTTTCCTATAATTAGCACCCCTAAGGTTGTTTTTGTATTGTTCGTTGTTTGTAACTTTCTGACCCGCCCCCAGTCGGGACACCTGTGAAAAAGAGCTTCATAGCTCATCGGATTCTTCCAGATTATGATTATTGTCATTAACTCGGCTCACTGTTGCGAGTTAAAGCCATGCTTTTCTCCCTCGCCTCCATAATGTGCCGCGAAAAACGTTATTGTTCCGAAATAAATTGAAAACACCTTCGTATAAAACTGAATTCCATTCAATGAGTTGCACACACCAATTACGCTACTCTTGAGTTGATCCTTAAAAGGCGTCCTTGATGGCGCAACTGCAACGCAAAGGGGAGAAATGGAGAGCGATGTGGAGCTGGGCGGTGGGGGGAGTTTGTTACAAAAGAATCAACGGGGATTCTTTTCTCCATATTCCATCTGTGCACACTACACATTATTCAGAATGCTTTTATATCATGCCCAGCCTTCCACCGTTGCATCTAACATTTACTTGAAAGGCATCCATTGCACATGAAGGCATAACTCATTATGAACACATTGGCACTTTTTTCCCCCTATTCCCTAATGATAGCTTTTTTTGCGCAGTCATTATTGACCAGGCGGGGGCCATACACTCACTGCACTTGAAAACAGCTGTCAATTACGGTGGCCAAAACCTAGATGTGAACCCAGGATCTATACTCTTTGGTTCTTTCGGTAAAGTCACGTAGGTGAAAATAAAAAATAACGTCGTGATTTAGTTATTTTTATTTTATTTTCACCTACGTGGGTTTACCGAAAGAACCAAAGAGTATGGATCCTTGCAGTCACGAAAACTTCTAATCTGGAGTGAACCCAGGACTTGAACAGTGTTGGCTTGGCATTATGACGAGGGCACGTGTCCTCTGAACTTTCTGGCCACCTCACTAGATATCCCAGTAGCAGTGACTGCACTTGCCAGGGTTCAATTCCCGAAACTGCCCAGGCCTGTGGTTACGTTACTTGGCATTGCCAAGAATCTGTCGATTGCCGTAAAATAGACGTTAAAGACTCAATTGCCACACAGAAGGGTATGCAACTGCGTATCAGATTACAAACCTCAAATCCACAATGCGGGACATACTTGGTTCACCCTACAGAGTGTGGCATCTCAGTGGGTTTTACGCGGTGAAGCAAAGGACATTGAATTGCTTTGCACATCATCTCCGGGACTTATTGATTGGGCTGTGGGTGAACGAGGCCATGGAATAGGTGGAAGATGATGCCAAGGAATGACAGGTACTTGCCAGCTCGGGGATTGGAGTGTGTCAGGCTATTTACACTCTTCCTGTAGCAATGTTAAATTACTTCTACAGGACACAGTCTCTTTGTTGAAAAGTCCTCTTTTGAAAATGTGTTTTCATGTGTGAACAGAGCCGATTGCTTCACCTGTCCATCGAAACGCGATATTTAAAGAAAGATGTCGCACACGATGCAATTCAGTGCTATTCACTCGTGAAATGGTCGACCGGTTCTTTAAAATCACCTTTTCCCTCTGCTTCTCACGGTGAAGTGCTGCAGCAGGCAAAAACACCTGCTAACCACGACACCACCGCCAGGTGCGGAGTAGTGGTTAGCACACCGCGCCGCGAACCCGGTGACCCGAGTTCGATTCCCGGCCATGGCTTACGTCAGTGGCGATTAACCGCACCGGTCCTGGGCCTCCCCTAGGTTGACTCAGCCTTATGTCAGTACCTGGTGCTGTGTGTAAATATCAGCACCGGGGAGACAAAGGTTGCCAGGCGTGGTACAGGCCACACCACCACCCCCTTGTGCATCTTCACAGGTGCCGGTAACAGCACTTAAGCCTGTGCACGTCACACGGGGGATCTTTGTTTGTGTCGCCTGGCCTGCGCGCGGCGTAGGTTCTGCCTTCTGCTCGGGATCCTCTTCTGCTGCGGCTCGGGGCTGTGGCTGCGCAGGAGGTACCTGGGGCCACGCGGCATCGCAAGCCAGCCCCCGCTCACCGTCACGTACACCGCACACGCCAGCGGGCCCAGGGCCAGGAGGTTCCACAGTGAGTTGTTGTGCCACCCTCCCCACCCTCCCCACCCTGCCCACCCTCCCCACCCTGCCCACACTTCACACCCTCCCACCGCCACCCACACCCTGTGCACGAGTTGTGGTCAGGAGGTCACGGCCACCAATGCTACTTTCAAAGATGCGTGAGCGACTCAGCCGTGGCCTGAGCCAGGCTCAGCTTGCAGAAACCATGAGCACGGCTGGGACCATGACTAGAGCCGGCTCATTTCTTCAGAACTGCTTTTTGTGTTTAGTTTGTTGTCCTTTAACGCACCTCTAATTATCACGGTTGGCTACGTACGGTGTGTAAGAAGTTCTACATACGTACGTACATACACTCGAACCAGAGCCAAGCCTATGCCGGGACCTGACGAAGTACACGGCCCTTAACCCTCGCGCCGCGCCCACCGTGTGCCGTCCCCGTCACAGACACGCTGCCCTCGGGGATGTACTTCTACACGGAGCAGGGACCGTTCCCCGGCGGGCAGGTGCCGGTCGTGTACCCGTACCCGCCGCAGCCCTCCGGCATGCCGCTGTACGAGCCGGGATACCCGCCGCCCGTCTACCAGCCCCCGCAGCACCCGCTCGCGTGCCACGCTCAGCCGCACCCGTTCGGCGCCCAGAGCCTCGGCCACCAGACTCAGCCGGGCGAGCTGTCGGTGCATCATCACCGTCAGCAGTACGTGCCGTACCCGACGCCGATGGCTCCTCCGCCTTCCTACGAGGAGGTCGTGAAGTCCTCGGCGCCGCGGTGAAGCGCGTCTCGTGTCGTCGCAGCGTCTCGTCGTGTGCGTCGTAGACCTTTCCCCTACCCTGTTGGCCGCACACTCGTGCATGCGCACACACGCACACGTATACACACTCGGACGAGATTGCCCTGTTTAGCCTTGTCGAATGTAAGGGTGAGTGCCATTCGTGAACACCGTTTAAGACCAGGCCTGGGACACAAAGGGGTCGTGTGGCCGGCACTATGCCTCTCCACCTTTGTATCCCCAGTGCTGATGTTCACACAAACCGTACCAATTACAAATTTAACGATGACTTGACCTAGGGGACACTCCAAAAAAGCACCACTTACATGGCGTGCACAGGTGGGAACTCAATCCAGGCCATCGGGGTCAGAGCGCAGTGTGCAAAGCAACGCACCACCGCACTTCACGTGCAAACATCGACAAAGATACCCCCCCCACACAGCCTTCAGCAGGTTATTGAGGCAAGTGCTGTTAGCAAGCACCTATGAAGGCCACCGCAGCTCAGGACGGGGAAGCGTGTCCAGCACCACACCCAGCCGCCTTTTCCTCCACAATTATACAACAACAACCGCTGTTCGCCACTAAGTGGCGGTGATGTCACCAAGGCGCTTGTGCCAGGATGGGTGCACCTTTAGGCCTCGCTGGCAGGAGGTCATGGGACAGACGCAGGTGTTAAAACCCAATGGTTCACACGCAGACGTACTTATTGAATGTTTTTTTGTTATTGCATCCTAGCTGTCATGTTGTATTCTAGGTATACAGAGAGGAGATCTACTGAGTGGCTTCGTGTGGATTAGGCCCTTATCAGTGGCACAGAGACAGGTTAAAATCCTGAGCCAGGTTCGATTCTAAGTTTGAAACTTGGGCTCATACCTCCCAATAAAGCCGTGTTGTTCATTGTGATGGGCTTACGATCTCTCCCCATTCACCGGACAGTTTCTAAACTGCGGACTTAAGGTAAATATGCATTACATATTGGATTATAGGCACAAGGGGAACAACGTGTCTGCTTAGCCGAGGTGTTTGTTTTACTGATAAGAGGAACCTCCTGAGAGGACACGGGAATGTATTGCAGTTGGAATGTGTGTCATCCCTGCCAAAGGTTGTCCCACGTAGGAAATGAACGCCGCTAAATGTGTGATGTTACTAGAATGAGCCTGCTGCTTTTGTTTGTGCCTTGTCTGCATTAAATAGCACAGTGGACTTGTACTCTGCAGTCATTGGTGACAATGCATTATACATGTGCGTATGGACATCAAATTGCTTCAGCATCCATTACAACAGCGGGCATGCATCACATTTGGAGAACACTTCTTTGGTTATATCGCCAGCATTCTGTTATCCTGTCAGGTACTGGGTGAGTGGTTGTCTCTGTCCATGTCCTCCACAAATGTCATCGGCCTTGCGTAGGACCGTGCTGACTGCAGTGATAAAATGTTACATTTGTCCGTGTGTGTTGTATGTGTGCGCAACTATTAGTCGTGTGACAAGCGGTGGTGTCACGGTCAGCACGCTGCACTACAAACTCGACGACCTGAATTCGATTCCCGCGCACGGGAAATACCGGTGACGATTATCTGAAACAGTCCTGGGCCTCCTTGAGGTCGACTCAACCTCTAATGAGTACTCTTAGGTTTTTTCGGTAAAGCCACGTAGGTAAAAATAAATAATACAAATAAATAATAAAATAATGGTGATAAAATAATAAATCACGACGTTTCGGAGGCAACACAAGTCTCCGTCATCAGGTGGGACCGTCACAGCTAAAATTTACTGTATCAAGTGAGGCAAAATTCCAAGAGACAATGTGTACACATCACTACTAAGGAGACAAAGGTGGCCGGGCGTGGTTCTGGCCACCCAACACCCAGGTGCGCTGTGCCGTCCTTCATAGGTGCTCGCTAACAGCACTTGCCCTAAAATCTGTTAAGGATCTTTGTTGATTGTAACCATTAGTGACGGAACTGAGAACATCGGGATATTCGAACACTGATGACCCATCTGTTCTTCAATCGGCTGCTGTTTCAAATAACCTTAATGTTAAATTTCGATTTAAAGCTTTCGTGACTGCAGGGATTCATCTTCTTGGTTCTTTCGGTAAAGTCACGTAGAATGGAAATAATAAAATAATAAAAATAAAACAATAAAATCAGTCTGAATAACTCTGTCTTCTCGACAGACCTGTTCTCCACCTGAGGACGGCTGCTTGCGTTGTGGCCGAAACGTCGTGAGAATTATTTTATTATGTTTTACCGAAAGAACCAAGAAGATTAACCTTAATGTTGCCGCTAAAATCGAAGGCTTCTTCACAGGGCTCTTGACTGGGGCATCAATCGTGAGCATTGTCCACCTTGCCAATCTTGACGTACTTGTCCACTGTCCGTGTTCTAATTCAATGCACGGCACCTGGGCAGAGTAGCTTGGGATGTCATGTGCCTATCCACCAGTCTCATTCTAAAAATTGCTTAGATTGCCTTTGGCAGGTCAAAGTGGTCCATGGTTATGGAACTTCCCGTTAGTGGAAGTGATTTTGTAGTGTCAGGGCGCAGAAAGTCCACACGCGCTCTGTGACTGAAGGCATGGGGCTCGGTCGCATCTTCTTAACCGTCAGGTTGTTTCTGCGTTTTTTCTTTATTTTGTAAAAACGCTTTGGATAAATTACAGTGGATATTTGTTGAAAACTCTTGAGTGCTATAAAGATTACGTTTTTTGAAGGATTAGGCAGGTATTTTCTGAAGATTGGTGCCACGATTACAGTGGTGGATTTTGGTTAACGATACAGTCAAGATGCTGCTATTCCACGTATTATATGCAGTATACACACAATACAATACAATGCAAATTGCATGATAATTTGGATTTATGAAGCCTCTGAATGCGACTACATCTCAAGAAGCTGAACAAATTGGGGAACATTTACAAAGAGATCAATTGAAGCATTGTAGTGGGATCTTGTGATTCTCACGTTAGTACAGTGTCTGTTGAAATTACGCCATAATTTAAAGCAGCTGCTTGGTAGGAAGGCAATTGTTACCGATATTTTGTGGAGAAACAGACGAGTCAACCCAATCAGTGCAAACGTGGTTTTTAACAACACATTAGGCACATTCTGCATATTGTTTTCTATTAAATACGTAACTCTATTTGTTTGCAGTGTGCTATATAGCTTTAATTAATTCAGTCTCTCTGCTAAAATTGGTATTGGTGTCTTTCTCCATAGGTGGCTCAAAGCCAATGGTGAAAATTACAAATTCCTATGGCAAGGCTGAGTCACTGCAAAGGGCAACCACTGTTGGGACTTCGACAAGGTGGTACTTAATGTATTGACTCCAGACGATAAAGGTGGCCGAGTCAAATCCCCGACCAGGTTTCGAATGTGAATTGATCACTCTGTGACGGCACCACCTAGCCGGATGATCGGTACGGAGTAAACGTGACATGATGTGCGATAGGATTAGTCCAGCAAGTCGCATTAACATTCCAAATAGATAGCATGCTGGTATTCGCCCATTTCTGCGGGCAGATTTACGTTCGGCACATTTCATGGCATCTGCCTTTGCGGTAATGGCCATGAGCGCGCGTCAACGGCAAGTGCAGCGCTACAGACGTTTCACGGCAACGTCTTGTCGTGATTGCTGCCTCCAAGCGCAGTCGACAAACATTTCGCTGGGGGGGCTGTCAAGGAGTCGAGTCAAACGAAAAAACGCGCAGCAAACCTATGGCATATTTTCGTCGCACCTCCGGTTAGAACGGTCGGCTACGTATGGTGCGAAAGAAGTTTAACACATACATCTGTTGCTATGTTTGATCCTTGATGTTCGTTTAGTATTCACCAATATATGAAATAGATGTTTGTCCAAACATAGCAACAGATGTCATGCCATATCGACGTGCTCATTATAAAGATTTTAATTAACTACACCAACCCCCTCCCTTCCCCAACAGGATTTGTGTCTTCAATATATTTAGCCACCAGCCGCCAATGATTATGTATTATAATAATAGTGAGTTGGATAGTCACATTTGTCGTCAGAGTTGGGACTGCTCTCGCAGTGGACACACGCGTTGGCGATCCGAAGGGGAATTCTCATCCCTGAGCAGTGCTGGTTACAGCGCAGTGTTTTCACAAGCGTCCATCACACGCCGTGTGGCCATCACCTTGGACACCTCGCGGCATTTGATTAGTTAAGCACGCTGCGTCGGACCAATGTTTGGCGAGCAATTCACAACGCTGGTCAATTGATGTTCACTCTTCATGTCTCCGTTGCAGTCATCGTTTCGTTTGTAGTTAAGAAATATGGCGGTTGATTTCTGGAAACAGGTCTGCCTCCAAAACTAGCACACTTCATTTCCCACTTAATGATCTCCATCAACAGATAATAAATAAGGGAGTGGCAGTAGAGTCATCGTCGCTTTAAGTGGTTTTCTAAGGTGTTTTTTGAAATTTTAATACACAAGACTAATAGAAAAAAAACTTTCATTATTGCTAATCTATTGTCGACTTCTCACAATTGAAAGGTTGTGAATTAAAATCCCAGTTGGGGGTTGACTCAGCCCATCAATTTGGGATCAATGAATTTGGGATCAATGAATTTGGGATCAATGAATTTGGGATCAATGAAATGAGTATCACTTTGTGAGAGATCGACAGTGGACTTCTTATGGACAAATTAAAACCTGCCACATAAATGGAGAATTTCCACACTTGGCCCAGGATTGTGGAACAATGAGTGTAATGTCAGGATGGGAAACTAGCCGCTGTACAGCGTGATTCAACAAAACTGCGTTCCATTTTTAAATCCTTTATATTAAGTTCACTTGCTTGCTTGCTTGCGCGCTTACGACTGTGCAAATCTTTCGGTCGTTTTTTAACCCACTTCCGTGATCCAATCGAGCTGACATTTTGCACACAGACTCGTTGTGCGTGACAATTTATTTTCGTGAAATTTTTTTTCCAAAATTTTACACTTTTTAGGAAAAAATAAGTTATATTTAATTACCAATTGCTTAATGGTGGCAGGCAATTATCTGACCCATAGGTGGCAGCCATCTCAAGCCAGAGGACGAGAGGACTCTAGCCGCCACGCATATAAAGGATTTATAGTGAAAAACTGTTTTTACGGGTTAATTTTTTGTTCATTGTGTTAACTCTTTATTCACACACACACACAGCCGGGAAATCACATTCCAAAGGTCTGATATTTAATTGTCATTGGAAAATCTGTCTATGTATGTTAGTTCAGTGCTTTAAATTCAAGTAAAGGGCTCTTGTGCGCTACTATACATTTGCACTGGGGTAAAGCCTACTAAAGTGCAGACAAGTCACATGTGGCAGTTTATAAATGTTAGGTGGGTGGCTATTTTGCTAAAGGGATACACTTTTTTGCCACGTATGTAATTGATGTCGGTTTTCTGATAACAGCAGAGTAACATGATGAGTACTAAAAGTAGCCTTTGCATGTTGCATGTCTGAAAGTGTATACTTAATGTGTGATGTACCCTTGTGCCATTCGTGTGTGTGAAAGCTAGGTGTGTCCACTTGTAGTCGGTGGCCCCTGTTTCGCATTCCTCTTTCGGCCGCTCTCCGATGGCAACATTTAGAGCAGCCCACTGCGGTAAGGGTGTCAAAGGCAGGCAATACTGGAGAAACCTCGAAGAGACGCGGTTTGACGCATTGACAGAAAGTTGTTTGTGCGTGTCTTTAAAGAACGAGCGCTCGTCTCAAACTCTGAGTTCAAATCCCGGTCGGGAGTCGACTAAGCCTATCATCCCCTCTGGGGTCAATAAAATGAGCACCGCTGTGTGGGATCACAACAACTATCCAATGCGCAGTGGTGGACATTCCACATTGCTATGACAGGAGGTGAGTTGCATAATATGACAAGACCAGTTGACTTCCCACCAAGTGATACTCCTTATAATAAACCAAGGAAAGTTAGAGATCTGAGTGAACATTTTTGGCAAATCAACCTGGATTTGAACTTTAGAGTGTTCAGTTATTGTGAACTCTAGCCGCAGCAATGTCTGCCAGATTGAAGTGTTAAGCATAAAATAACAATGGAATCTGTTATTGAAGGAAGATTAGTGACATAAATACGTGCCTGTGGTTATTTTTCAGCATCCCATTCTCAAAACCTTTACAGGATTATATCAGGAGTCAATAAAAAATCTAATCCCACATTGTATTTTTGAACATCCCCTTCTGTTGTATAATAGTTTGCTTTTGTAGATTATACAGCTGGTATTACAATATTAATTAACTTTAACATTTTTGACCATTGAGGCGGTGTTTTGAAATCCAGAAATGGTATATTCAGTGATGTATCACGAAATGTCCTTTGTCAAGTCATTTGTACATGCATGCGATTCTGTTGTGTGAATATAGTTTTCACACAGTGATTGAAATATCACATAGTTCTGGGCAACACAAGAACATTAACAAATGAATACAGGTTTGCAGGATGTCTGAATTATTTAACTTAATGAAAAATATCAATTTGAGCCAAGAAAAAGCCATGTGCAATAAGTTGCCGAATTAAAGAAAATTTATTGTTGGAGGCACACAAATGGACAAAAAATGTTTATTTAGGGCAATTATTGAGGATAGACCAGGATCACAATTCTGAAATTCATAGGCAAGAAAAAGCAGGATTTATTCATTTTGAAATATTACATTTGATAATGAAAAGCAACATACCATTGCGCTTAAAGAATAACGTTTGCAATAATTCCCTATCCCCTGCTATAGCACATAATCCAAAACAGACCCGGACATAGAACATGGAACAAAGCAGAAAAATAACCAAAGATACATGGAAAGATGCACGCTGGGATTTATGAGAGACAGAAAGTGTAGCACAGACAACTTCATGAGTTTGTGGTATGCTCTGAAGCCGAACCTGTTGTTCAACCGTGCTTAGTATAATGTTGATGGATACATGATTATTGATTCTTGTTTATGATGATTGTTGGATACATCTGAAATGCTAGATTACTTCGGCTTGCATTTGCCAATATTGTTACAGTTGGCAGTGGTACATGACTCAAAACTCATTTTTCAAACACCATCAGTTGGTACAACGTTCATGCAATGATGGCATACTGTGTTGTACCTCACATTATCGAACTCAATCGAAATTCACTTAACCTCGGGCAGAAAGACAAATGTTCTATTGTATTCAGTGGAATTGTAATTATTAGTTGATACGAAACATTGGCAGGGAAGAGGGTGTGAAATTTAATTGAACACAACTGCAAGTAAAATGCTCTTGAGACATTATCTGATAATTATTTGTAGGTTAGAACTGCCTGCGTTGAATAGATTAACAGTTTTAAAACAAATTAATGTGTTCTACATTTAATGCTCTTTAAAAGCGTGTTTGATAAAAAAAAAATTAATACTGTACTTGCGGTAAAAGCAGTATTTATAGTAAAAAATTGTTCATAGTAAAAATACAAGAAAATGTTAAAGATATTGGAGTTTTTTTTGTGTGTGTTTATGCATACGAGTGCTTCGGTCAACATTCTTTACGGAACCCAAAGTTAAATAAAAGTGTCTCCATGTCCCATCGAGTGTTGGGCAGTGTTTGCCTCCATTGGCAGCCCCAGCGGGGTGGATGCCACATTCCTGTAGCAGGGGGCATTCTGTTCTCAGCCACGACCTGAGCCGAGCACCAGTCGACAGTTCCACCACGGTGGATATGCACGTCACCATACAGGTTTACAGTTGACCTTGCAGGATCCTTAGCACGGTTGGCTAAGTACGGTGCTAAAGAAGTTCAGCATACTTTGAACGTTTTGCTCAAGACAGCAGTGCATTGCCTATACCAATGCATTGCACAATTCGATATTAAGTTATCAATACATGTCGCGGTTGTGACATAGATAGAGTCTTGTACTGCCCAATATTGATATCGACTGCTCATATTGTTCATCTTGATTGCTATTTTTGCTCAAGTGCTCGAAGGTAACTCCTGTGATTTCTTTCGTGTACGGAGTGGTGCTGTGGTTAGAGCATGTTAACTCGCAGAAGGTTATGAGTTCAAGTCCTATTTGACGGTCAGTTCACCCATCATTCAGAACATAAGTACGGAACCACTGTGGGAAAGTCAATAGTGTTTGTTTTTCCCTGTGGAAAAACTCGCCCCTGCCATAGTAATGTGGAACTTCCACCACTTTGACGTTTTGAATGACTGTATTGTATCGTAATTAGCCAAGGAAAGGAACAAATCTCTTGTGATACGACCTCACACAGTCATTGTAGTCCAAGGTACGCTGAGGATCTGCCCTTAGGCAAGACGTGATTGCCTTCAGGCAAGTCATTCTATTCACGGAATAATTTAAACATATACCGTATTTTGCTGAAGAAAAATAATGCATTTTTAAAGTGCACATGTTTCTATTTATAGCTGTGCTCACTCCCATCCATCAGCCGATCGATCCTCCTTCCTTATCAATTTCTCAGACAATCGATCAATGTTGCCGTTGTAATATAATGTTTTGTTAGATAATCACGTAGGCTCCTCGACTCGCCTTCCCATGCGTTTTTGCCACAACGTCCATGCCAATACCATCCTTTATTAAGCGTTGTGGGTGAAGATTTAGGGCCACATTCACATCCCAAAACAGCCGAAACGTATTCGCCCTGACGATTTTACACATTAAAATTTGACTTAAAACTTTCGTGACTGCAGTAATTCATATTCTTTGGTTATTTCGGTAAAGTCACGTAGATAGGTTCAAAGAAAATAACAAAAACTACGACGTTTAGATCGCAACACAAGCGGTCGTCATCAGGAAGTCACAGAACATCTGGAACACCCTTACAGCATATGGCATATGAAGTCCAAAGGCATCCATGAGTTTCATTGGAGGCTAAAATACCCTCCAACAACGAAGCAAGTCCTCATTTTATGCCACGTTGTATTTATTGGCCAATCACCAATTAAACATTCTCCCTTCAAAGCCACCAAAGTTATACAACGCCAACGCTAAGCCGGCAAAGCTCTTTATAATGCAACAAAAGCTCGTTAATCTGCCACCTAATGCCCTAACATCACATCAATCTGGCCACCGCTGTTTGACAAACCAGATGCAAAATGTGATATTAAATACACACGGGCAGATTTGCTTCCTCCACCTAATGGCTGGACGACTGCAGGAGCAATGAACGACAGGGGTTTTAACCGCCTCGCCAAAGTCTACTTGAGCCAAATGATCCACCACCGCATTCTTCTGCAGCAGGGGTCGGGAACCTTTTTGACTGGGAGAGCCATAAAAGCCAAATATTTCTAAATATATTTCATCGAGAGCCATATAGTATTTTTAACGTATAATACATTAAATATGTCTTACTTTTAATGTGACTTCTGGTGCTGCATGGTTTTGCTGATGGCCTTGTAGTCTGGTTCATACGTGGTGAGGTTGAGCTTCATGCAGGCGTGACCCGTGAAATTTATCTTCAAAACTAATTTCTGTTTACTTTAAAATGACACAGTATTATTAAACAATATCACAAGTATTTTAAAATCAGTTCCAAACTGATTTTATTTTTTTATTATTATTTTTTTTCAACTCAAAATTATCTGGGAGCCATATGCCGTCACTGGAAGAGCCATATATGGCTCGCGAGCCATAGGTTCCCGACCGCTGTTCTACAGGTTATGATGATGTCCCATCCCACAAGGGGAACATTTTACCCGCAAATTACTCAATTGTGATCACGCACGGCAGCAACATCGCATCCGATTCAATTAGACCTGCCAGGAAAAACGAAAGGAATCAAAAATAATGAAGCCTCGTTAGTGTACTGTGTGCGGTAAAGGGCAGCTGGGAATCAATTGTGTTTTATCCCATGTGAATCGGGCCAGTTTAACACGTAGGCTTTCGCGACCAATATTATTCATAATCAACGTTTTTGGGTTTAGATCGCGTTATTTATAAATGTGTCGTAACCCTCCACCACCCGACACGGCCGATCAGAAAAATAGTGTCACGCTGACGAAGGACAAATAGTTCACTGCTTTAGCCCACCGGTGTGTTGAAGCGTGAAACCACATTTACAATTTGAGTACGACGTTTCGCTGGTAATTGCATCCAGCATCATCGGGCAATTCGCCAGAATGGTGAGGCTCTGCTGTGTCTCCCGCTCTTATATAGAGCAGCAGCAGGGTGACGTCATCAATAACTGAATCGAGCCATCATTACATCTGCACGTGCTGATCGGGTTCACGAGTATGAATTCATAACAGGTCTGTCAGAAAGACAGCGTCATTCAGACGCTGTCTCCCCGACAGCCCTGTTCTTCACCTGAGGACGGCTACTTGCGTTGTGGCCGAAACGTCGTGAGAATTATTTTATTATTTTTATTTTTATTATTTTCCTTCTACGTCACTTTACCGAAAGAACCAAGAAGATGAATCCCTGCAGTCAAGAAAGCTTTAAATCGAAAAAAATGAACAATTAATGTATATAAAACGTGGGCGGGGATTACGTGAAAAGTGGGCGTGGCTACAGACGGCTATGGGCGGGGCTTAGATGACGTGGGGGGGGAGTGGGGGGGGGAGCCGGGGGGGGGGCGCCGAGTTCATAAGGGGGGGGGGGTGGAGAGGGGGCAGTTTCTACCGCGACGTAAACATAGCGTCTGATTGGTGGATTATCGGCACGTGATGCAAATGGACCAATCGCAGCGCTCGGAGGCTGCCGTTATATAAAGTCAACAGTCGCCGACGCCTCAGGGTTGCGGCGGTGTTGGAGGTGGCCATGAAGACGCCCAAGACGCCGTGGCCGGCGATGGTGAGGTCCGCGTGGCGTCTCCGCTCTTGTCGCAGCGGGTCGGGGTTCTCACTCGAGCTGCTGTTGTTGTTGCTGCTGCTGCTGTTGTTGTTGTTGCTGCTGTTGTTGTTGTGGGTGCATGGGGAGCGCGCTGCGAGTTCGATTGCCCGCTGACGGCCACTTAAAGTCCTCCTAACCCGTGGGTGACACTTCATCAGAGGCGGTACCTTGTGCCGTGCTGTGTAAACATCCCCACGGGGGAGACAAAGGCGGCCGCGCGTGGTGGTGTCCACCTCTCGTGGCCACGGTGGGTGCTACTCTCGAACAGCACTTGCCCCAACAACAACGACGAGGCTACACGGGGGATCTTTGTCTTTGCGTCGTTGTTGTTGTTTTGCTGTTGTTGTTGTTCAGCGCGTCGTCTATTTAACGCTTCCCGTCGTGGTGGCCTCGCCGATGATTGCCAGCACGGGTGAAGCCGCTTCGTGATTACATCACCCGCCGCGCCTTGCCAAGTAACGCCGACGGTTACCAATGATTTGAAGCTTTCGTGACTGCAAGGATTCATACGCTTAGGGTCTTTCGGTAAAGTCACGTAGGTAAAATAATAAAAAAATAGAAATTATAATAGAAATAATATAATAAAATAATAAAAATAAAAAATATAACAAAATAATAATTATTTTATTTCTATCATTTCTATTAGTTTTTATGTTTTACCTACGTAGGTAAAAAATATATATAAAATAAAAATAATAGAAATAATAATAGAAATAAAGTAATAAAAAAAATATTGCTTTATTTATATTACTATATTTATTATTTCTATTTTTTTACCTAAGTGACTTTACCGAAAAAGCACGAGTATGGTTACCAAAGACTTTATTTATGGGGAACCACGTAGACTGTGTTTATTTAACAACACTTTGATGTCACGCCGGGTAGCGCTGATGGTTCACAGTTGTGGGTGAAGCTGGATCGTGGCTGACATTTGTAAGAATGACTCCACGATGGTCACCAGCAATAGTTGAAGCCGGCTTGTATATTTAAACCGGTTGTGCAATCGTGCCCATGATCGCCAGCAAGGCTAAAATAAATGCGGCTTGTGGTGTACACGCTTGGGGGATGGCACTGATGATTACTGATAGCGGCGAAGCTGGTTTGGCATGACTAATATGATTTAACTTCCCTGGTAACCACCAATATACAAACCTGTCAACCCCTTATCAGTGCCCTACCTTATTACAGACCAATTCGGACCGTATTGGTCACCCCAGTGCCCTCGCAAATCTCAAAGTTCATCCTACAAAGCCCCATCGCAAGGGAGAAACACAAACAAACAGACGACAACAACAAGACAAATGTCCCTAATGAAACGTCTGTACGCCGGATGGACCTGAAAACTCGATTTCCCTGTACAAGAATACGGGGTAAACGGCACGGGTTGGCAGCTATGAATATCGTGGACCCCTTCCCATGTGAAACGAGACGTAACTGATGACAACCAGTTTGGGCCATTCGTATTAATAGTCGACAGAGTGGACATGTGGTGCAGCAGTGATAAGATCCACTCGTGGTGGGTCGGTCATCGTAAAGCTGCTTTGCATATTGATCACTTGCCACGACTCTATGCTGCAAGATTGTTGTTGCCATCAATGATTCCTGATTTGGCACGTAACACTTTCGGCCTCGCCTAAATAGTACTCAATGTGTGCGTGTGCCTAGTTCGTAGGTCTGGGTTGTAAAATGGATCTCGGACCACTCCTATCTATGAAACTCCCTTCGCGTGTGCAGACAAAGGTACTCGATATATATTTCGATTTGGGGCCGTACATAAATGACGTCACGCGATTTTGGACGATTTTTGACCCCCCCCCCCCCCCATCGTCACACGGCGTCACAAAAAGTCAGACCCCCACTCATATGACGTCACAAAGCTCTGCCCCCCCCCCCCCCCCAAAATGCTTCAAATCGCTTTAAACGATTGTCATTGTGCGTATTTAATGTGCCGCTGCACTCTGATGTTGTAGGAGAAAACATTTATTAAAAAGTATATTTAATTAAGTAGAACGTGTTTTATATTTGTTTAAAGTTGCGCATTTTGATGTGACGTCACATTTCTCAAACCCCCCCCCCCTCGTCACACATCGTCACAAATGTCTGACCCTCCCCCCCCTAAGTGCGTGACGTCATTTATGAACGGCCCCTTTGAACATCGACTTAATGCTTTACATTATAAATATGTAGGCCATGCATTTACTCGGGTTATTGCAAACATTTCTCTCTGGCATTTTTTTTATAATAACAGTGGCTACGACGCTTTACTTGGGAGTACGTTTCAGGTTTCGTACTGAGTAGACCCCGTTAACATAGCAGAGAGCGAGAGAGAGAAAAAAAGCTCGAAGATGACTTCACATTTTGTTTACCCATTTCAGTCATGGCCTTGACTTGTGTTACAGTATCGTTGGTTGAATTACTGTACTGTATTCTCTGGATTAATAAAAGGTAAACGTTTGAGGCGCATCCCAATTTTCGGAGCGTCTTATAACCTTGAGACTACGATACATGTCGTGTAATTGGCATGTGTTTGCATGTATTCGTATTTTTTTTATGAATAGTGTTGTCTTATGAGAGGCAGTTGAGCGTTGGTTAGGACTCTCTCCACTGCAATCCCAGAACACGTGTTTTCGATTCCCAAGCGTGCACACGAGTTTAAACTCATATCTGATCCTCTCCATGACTGTTCCCCAACATTGACTTGGCCATAGATCAGTGGCTGGTACAGTATGTCTATTATTATGATTGCTAAGGAGATAAAGATGGCTGGATGTTCTGCTGACCACCACCTAAAAACCATCATTGTGCTGTAGCAGCATTTAATATTCAGAGCACTTGCCAATCCAGTTTCAAATGCGGATTGGGGCATCCCAGAGTTTGACTCTGTATCCTAGAGTTGGGATATCCCATTACGGTACTTAAGTATTAGATTTCCGATTCATATTTCAATAACCCAAGGCGCAGTTGAGCTCTAACTGGGATACGACACATAACCTTATTATTGTGATTGAAACGCTATAACCTAGTCGGCCAGATTTCAACGCGTGAAATTTTGCTTGCGAATAAAGGAAAATTAGATCTCTAAGCACACTTTCCTTATGAATATGAAGTTGCAAAACTCAATGAAATGTCACAATTCGGCAATTTAAGTTATGAACCACTTTAGACATTAACTTTTTGTCTCGTTTTTACTGGCTAGTTTGTATTGCTTCTCGTTTGTCTAGCCACTTTAATTCCCTTTGCCATCACGTAGAATTAATGTACAATTCGAGTACATCTTTAATAGCCACTTATGACATGTACAATCCAGTGCACATGAGCGTAAGAATTGATTTTAGTTCATTAATTATCACGTCTAGTCTCTCCAACTATTGTATTTTATAACCTTTGTAGTTGTAGAAACTAAAACAGAAGATCTTTGTTATAAGTTGTTGACTTCAGGACTTTGTGAGAGCGAAAAAACCCTATTTAAGTAAAATGGCATCTACGATTCACATTACATTGCTCAAGCTGGAGAAATATTCAACATCCTTGTTCTGCCAATTCTGCATTGCAATGAAACGACAGAAGAGAATTTCAGCTAAAACAATCGGCTGCCTGCATATGCATCACCATGCGCTTACTTGTTGGGTACATTCAGTAGTAAATTTATGCCCCTATCTGTATAATTGCAGGGCATACATGCCGTTCATAGGTTCCGATGTATTTGAACAACCTGCCACTAAAAAGGAAGCTGTAAACGACTCACGTGTCTTTGTTAGAAACCGGTAAGTTGCTTTTGAAACTGTTACGTTTGTTCTTGTAAACTAGGGACATCTTGTGACGTGGTGTTATTTCGCACAAGTGTACCCCCTGTGATCAGCCGTGACAAATAATACAACTTTAATCCATAATACAGGTTTTTTTGAGTTAGATCGTGTAAATATATACATGTGTAATTAAACCCGCCACCACCCGACAGCCAATTGGTAAGGTTTGTCACGTAAACAGAATTGTAAATTTTGTGGTGGATTCACTCTTCAACATCCCTGTGGGCTAAAGTAGTGAACTATTTGTCTTTTGTCAACGTGACACATTTTTTTTTTACTGATTGGCTGTGTTGGGTGGTGGAGGGTTGCGACACATTTATAAATAACGCGATCTAACCCAAAAACCTTTATTATGAATAATATTGTTCGCGAAAGCCTACGTGTTAGAATGTGCCAATTCATGACTAGTAGAGCACTAACCGGTGTGTTGGAGAGCAAAGCCACAACATTTACAATCTGAGTACGACGTTTCGCAAGCAATTACAACTAGCCTCATCAGGCGACAGCCAGATTTGTGGAGAAATCCTCCTGTTTCGTTCCTTCAGACGATTATGGATGATATTGGTCACGAAGGCCTAGTGTTAAACAATACAGCTTTGCTTTGCCAAAAGGAAACTGAGAATTATACTCTTAGTTCTTTCGGTAAAGTCACGTAGGTAAAAAATGAAATTATAATTAATTAAAATAAATTATTTTATTATAAATAAATTATTTTATTAATTTTAATTTCATGTTTTACCTACGTGACTTTACCGAAAGAACTAAGAGTATGAATCCTTGCAGTCACGAAAGCTTCAAATCTGAAACTGAGAATTGTCACAGAGCATTGAGTTTGTCGTCGTTTCGCAGTGATAACTGCACAAATGCATTCCACGTCGCCTCTGCTTGTTATGCAATCCATGCTATACTGTACCTCTGTTTATTACATCGAGTTCGTTACATAATTCACTTGAAAATTATTTATTTCGGGTGCAACTGCAGCCGTTGTCAGAGCCTTTGAAACATTTTTTACATGTATTCGGGCCCATTCAAACTACAGTCTTGTTACATAATTTTTATTAATATGTTTTACATAATAAAACATTTGTGTAAAGACCATGTATGATGACGCATTGAGACACTGTGGCAGTGTCTGACAATTAATCATATGCTCATTCATTATCATGTTGGTTGGGGTCGACTCAGCCTGTCATCATGTAATGTTGCCATGATTTGACTGGTTGCTGCTGCTTAGGGATTGTGGAGTGTTAACCATTCATTGATTCAGGATTAAGCATGGAGACACCATTGTGAATTTTAAGTCACTTTAACCGAAATGAGAACACATTGAGATCCAACGAGATTCTCTAAAGCAGCAAATTCGTACATGCATGAGACAAGGACGCTTGTGGCCAGTCGACAGCGATACAACGTGTACAGTAGACTTGTCGATCCATCTGTATGGAATTTTGAAATATCTCATCCCACCTAAGTTGGAGTTTACTTGCAGTGTTGGAGATTTTGTCCTAGTTGACAGTCATTGTGGCAGAGATGAATTGGCATTTTTGTCGCCAGTTCCAACTTGTCATTGGCATGGATTTATTATACAGTTCTCCATTGGAAACAAAAAAAGTTTTGCTGGCTGGCTTCCGAGCTGGCAGGCGCACGTGGTAGTGAGGTCACCGTACACACGTGCGTGATGACGTCACCACGCACACCTACCTGGTAATAACCCCATTTATGTAGCGCTTTTCATCAAGGATCTCAAAGCGCTGTACAGGACAGTAGCAGCAAACACTCGGTATAAAACGTATATAATACATTTTAAGGATCATTTACTAAATGAACAAAAACATGTAAAAAGTGCAAGTGTAAAAATTGGTTTTTAAATGTCCACAGACTCGGAGATCCCTCTGATATCGCGTGGAAGAGCATTCCATAGCCTGGTGGCTACACGGGGAAAAGCTCGGTCACCCATAGACCGAAACATCGACCTGAGAATACAGAAGATCTGCATCCCCAGATATTAGGGACCTTGAGGAGACATGGGTGCAGCATGGCAATGGTGTAGGCTGAGGCAAGATGGGTCACTGCTTTGTAAATTAGCAATATGATTTTAAACTGTATTCTATGTGAAACTGGAAGCCAATGTAGGGAGGTAAAAACGGGTGTAAACATGCTCTAAATTGATCAGCACCTTCTTAGCCACGCCAGAGACTAAGCCATTACCATAGTCTATGCGAGATGAGATGAAGGCATGGAGCAGCTTTTCTGCATCTGAGGCAGAGAGAAGGGATCAGATATGGGAGATATTCCAAAGAGGAAAAAATTAAGTCTGTGATCTTTTTATAATGAGCCTTGAAGGACACTGTGGGATCACAGATGCCCCCTGGATTTGTGGCTTCCTGTGCCAAACTGATTACATGGCCGTCTTTCAAAATGTTGAAGGGTGCAGATTTATGAGGTTGGTGCGGTGACCCAATGAGTATCACCATTCAATTAGAGAAAGTTTTGTTGCAACCAACTTTTGATGGAAGCCAGCGCCAAAGTAAGCATGGAGGCAGACAAAGGGATGTCGGACTCGGTATGCAAGTAAAAAAAATGTCAAGAGCAAATGACCGAGTGGGACCATATGAATACAAGAGAGAAGAGGGCCAAGAACTGAACCCTGAGAAACCCCAAATGAAACATGGCTGGGAGCAGATTTAAAATCTCCCATGGATACAAACTGTTCCCAATTAAACTCAATAAGATCTGTACCAACGGAGAGCAGTTCCTGAAACCCCCATGATGCTTTCCAAGCGATCAGTCAAGATGACATGATCGATGGTGTCAAAGGCTGAACTCAGATCCAGCAAAGCAAGAATACTGGGTGAGCCAGAGTCAGGAGCGATCAAAAGGTCGTTCACCACTTTAACCAGAGCTGTCTCAGTGGGTGTATCCAGCCCTGAACCCTGACTGAAATTGATACAGAAAATCAGAGGACAAATGGGGGTTCAACTGCAAGGCAACCCAGGGATTCAAGGACCCGCATCACACAACCTTCAGCTAATTTGTGTGCGTGCTGACGTCACCCCTTCCCCCTCTCTCATATCTGCAGGACATGCCGCCTGTGAGTGTTGAAAATACACAATAGGAGCCAGTTGGTTTTGGAGCTTTAGAAGAGTTGCAAAAGCCATCCCAATCCACACTGCAAATAGAACCCCAAAAATCAATTACTTTCGTGTCACTTTTGGACCCACTGGAAGCGGCACAAATTCAGAAACCAGCCAGAACTCTACCCTCGAGCGGGATGCGCTAGTTACGGATGACGGCTACATGAGTGCCGTGCATGCTGGTCCCTGTGTTGTTCTTGTTGCTGCTGCTGTGCAAAGTAATTGTGAGAAATTTCGTGCAGGAAAATACAAAACGGACAGAGTAAATTAAATATTAATAGCGCCTGCAGCCATGCACCTGGCTGTTTCCCAGTTGGGTTGTCCTCCCTCGCTGTGTGCTAGAGTAATGATGGCTTAAGTGCCTGGAAGGCTTGTGTACTTGGTACTGAGTAAATGTGAATCAAAGCATTTGTGTATAAGCCAAATCCAGGCGGTGTATCGCATGTGGGGACATTGTTCAAGCAGAGCTGCTATGTTTGCTTTTAAAACTGTTTGCCCTCTTGTGTTTTTGTATTTAATCAGGTGGTGTTGTGGCAGAGCGTTCAACCTACAATCAGATGGTCGTTAGTTCAAACCCTGGTCAAGGATTGCCTTAACCCACCTTCCTTCAAGGTCAATCAAATACGAGTGGTCATCCTTTTGGGAGTCTCTTCCCCCTCCGTTACATTTGGGAAAAAAAAGTGACTTGTCTCAGACCGTGTTCGTGAACATAAGGCAGATTTGAAACATGGTAGGACCAATACTTCTGCCGTGGCTGATCATTATTTTAATGTGGCTGGCTCACACGAAATTGATTTCTCTAAGACGATGCTACTTTGCAAGCCTACTGGCTATCAACAAAGATTAGTTCATGAAGCTATCCATATATACAGACACAGACAATTTCAACCGAGATAAAGGTTATAGACTCGGTATCAACCACTTTGAGTCATGAGTTGACTTGTGTTTTCTTGTCAATCAACCTCCACCGTCAGCAGTGTGATGTGTGGAGCGTGGTGCATGGATGATTGTGCTGCTCTATTTGCATTCTGCTGCATTGGCATTGTTGCTGCATTGGCACTCGTGCACCGCCCATGCTCCTGGTGCTGTTGATACACTTGGGCTCCGCCCGTCCCCAAACCTTTACAAACAGTTGGCCTTGAGAGGCTGACTCGTTTGCCTGATGACGACAGCTTGTGTTGCGATCGAAACATCTGAGCCCATTGACCTTTCAATTTCACCCATAGCTGTATATTTACTGTCCTCAGCATGCCCGGACTTGTTTTGTTTGTAATATAAATATGTAGAATGATTTAGACATTCACATTGAGTATCTGTACTCAGCCTGGGACTCATTGTTCCTGTACTCGCTGAATAAAACAGATGTAATTAGAGGAATTAATTATTCACCCACTCTAGATTTCATTAATTGAAAAAATTTGTAGTCATGTTTAAATCCACAAATTGATTGTTTCCCCCCTTGTGTTTCATATACAATTTGTAGTGGTATGAATCTATTAAATCAGTAGTGATATAAAAACAATTGTATACGACCAGCATATCAGTTGAACGTAGCCTCCTACATGCACAACAACATTCTCGTGTAATGAGCGTAGCAGTCTATTTTCATTGTTGAATTGTTACATCTCTACTTCACGCTATTTAACACAAAGGCTTTCGCGGCCAATATCCATAATCGAGGTTTTTGGGTTGGATCGCGTAAATATATAAATGTGTCGTTAAAACCCGCCACCACCCGACAGCCACTGGTAAGGGTTGTCACGTAAACAGAACGTGCCATCATCATTAGACCTCCTTTGCCAGTACCAAAATATAAGAATAGGGTTTTTCCCCTTTTTTTCTGGCAACAAAACTGAAACTTTTTTTACATACCAATTTGTCACTGGTACAGCACACCGGTGTGTTGGACTCGTGACGAATTGGCACGTTCTGTTTACGTAACAACCCTTACTAGTGGCTGTGTTGGGTGGTGGCGGGTTTTACGACACATTTATATATTTACGCGATCTAACCCAAAAACCTCTTATGGATTCGCGTTATTTAATGTTCGATTCACAGCTGTGCTATGTTACTATTTAATGGGAATGCAGTCGATTTAGACGTGTTTTAGTCCACGGATTTATACCAGTACATTTTTACGGAAAGCAGGGCGACCTACTAAATACTTTATAGGACCTCCAGGGACTATGGGTCACTTGGCACACACAAACAAGCTTCGAATAAACACTAACCACTCTCTAACTTTCCATCGGTTTCCATCTGTACGGGGATCGAGTGTTGCCCTCTTAGGTGGGTTTCCCCGGGGGCTCTGGTTTCCTCCCACGCATATAATGACCCTCTTGAAAAAAAGCCCCAAGGACTCTGTCATATACTTTATATATATTATTGGTGGTAAGTGTGATATCCATCATAAATATATTGCAGATCTTGGTAAGCAAAAAAAAAAGCTGTCTTTTCTCTCCAGAGCAGCCACCAAAGCTGGTGTAATTCCAATACTTATCAGTGTTTCTCAGAAATGCATACCCAGTCTCTCGACCTTTCCCCGACTCTGATCACTCATGGGAATGTGCGATTGAGTCCTCTTTTTTTTCCCCATTAAACTCCGCCCTGTGTTCTGTTGCTGCCCCATATAAGTAGCTGCGCAAGCAGTCTGACAGCATTTCAGCTTGGGCAGTGTAACGATTAACTTACATTTCCTCTGCGTTTGGAGTCGGGGTGCCTTCAATCCTTTAAACGTGAGTCGAGTATTCGTAGTAACCACATAATATGGCACACGACATGTTTAATGTGAATGTAAAAAGTTTATATACGCTTTAACTTTTGTCGCAGTTTACAGTAGTGTTATTTGGTTCTAGCGGAGTGGTGCTGTGGTTATGGCACGTGACTTGCAATGGGACATATTTAAGTTGAACCTGTTGGGGTTCCACTCGGATCAATACATCAGTGCAACGTTTTTGGAAGTCAACAGTTGTTGGCCAGGTCGCTTCTGAAAGTTAAGTTAATACCTAAGTGGGCTTTACCTGGTAAAATAAAAAAATTATATTTTAGTTTTATTTGTGTTTTTGTATTGTTTGTTGGTATAACGTTCTGACTCACCCTTACTGGACATCTGTGAAAAAGAGTTTATAGCTCATCGGATTCCTCCAGGATAAATAATTATTCCGATTCTGTATGATTAATGTCCTGCGAACAAGAGACGGGCAATGCCCCACCCTAATTTTATACGGACACCACCTTAACTTTGATTTTGTAAAAAAAAAAATGTGTTGTATTTTATACTCTTTGGTTCTTTCGGTAAAGTAAATCACGACGTTTCGATCGCAACACAAGCGGTCGTCCTCAGGCGTAAAAAAATTCATCCAGCAGTGGAACTGCTGAACCAGCGAGAGAGCTGTTACAACAAGAGGTTATATACGTGGCGATGGGCAAGCAAGCGGGGTCTGAGCTGGAAACGAATTCCATCCACGGACGTAAGCATGTCAGTTGTGTTAATGGGGGAGATTATGGAGAGAGAGGATTAGGGAGGGAGATTAGCATGAATGAGCTTCCGTCGCCGCATAAGAGTATCATGCCCGCATATGCGCACAACAGCAGTGTTAATGAGAGATTAGCACCATGAGAGTGTTGTACTTTATTGAACATATATAATAATATTATTCGAAGCCTGAACTCATTTAAACATGCCCATTGTAATTTTACCTGAGCATCTTTATGCCCATACCTTCGGATAATTAATCAACAATTTACGTGTGCCAAATGCAGTGTTGCAAGCATATTCCAGTATGATGCACAAATACAATGATGTCTCTACGCTTACCATAAGTTCCTCGTGTGTAATGAAAGCTGTCATTTCTCGGTTGGAGAACTGTGTCCCAGGCCTGAGTCGTGCTCCCCCACCAATAGGTGACATTCGTATGTTCCATCGTACAGTATTGATAGTGGCTATTGATTCTCTTGTTCCTGTTGTGGGGTTCATCATGGCTGTCGTATTGTTTTGGTTTTAATAAAGATCCCGTCTTAATTCGCAAGGTGCAACAATTGTATTACATTGTCGTAACCCAGCTGGGTTGTTGGAAGAGTGGTTGTCCTATCTGTGTAATGGCCCTGCCATAGGAGCGTAGAATTCCACTCTTGGTTTATGGCTGCCAATCATTGTTTGACCACATCATCGCCAACATACACAATTTTAATTAAACTAGCCACAGCTGAATAATGGAAATTCATTGAATTATGAATGCCACTTCCAATAGCTTCACCTGCAGAATAAACATTGTTTCTCAGCTACCTGTCATCCGTTTTAATTCAACCGTAACTCGTTGAGAATGTTGATGCTACTGCATCTGTGCATCTCTGCTATTTTGATGTCCGAGGACACGATGGTCCTTTATGGGACTGATAAGACTGCCAAAAAAACATGGCACGCTGAAATATCTTCCTTCTTTGTTCACATTTACCGTATAGTCTTGTGCTTTATAATTAAATATATATCTTGTTTAAAGAGCGCCTTACAATTGCCAATCAAAAAATTGTTTCGTTGTGTATTTAATTTCTATATTTAAACACAGCTAAGCAACTACAATGGCCCAGCTAAAGTGTGTGCCCTGCAACCTGACATACACCACAGGCATGATATGCTAGGCAGCTTTACACATCGAAACTATGAGGGGAAATGAATGTGTATTGTAAATTAATATGTTCTGTATTGCGCTAAAGCCGGATGGTAATGTGGTAAGAGTGCTTGACTCACAGGAGTGCTTTGCACGTGTGAGAAAACCCAAAGTACTCTGAGAAAACAGTGGATAACACTCTCAGAGGCTTGCACATACGGGTTCACGTATGCACGTTGAACTTCTTTCGCACCGTACGTAGCCAACCGTGCTCATTGCTGGAGTGGGGGATGGTCAACAAACTAAACGCAAAAAGCAGTTCTGTGTGGTGCTGTCGAATACTTTCCTGTACCTCCGATTATCACGGTGCATGCATGCTAGACACCTCACAATATTGTACAGTAGGACGTTTTACAAATCAATGTGACACATTGATCCAACAATCTTTGCTCAGAGCACACGAGCTTACAGCAACAACGTCATTGACCATGGGAGCCTGGGGGTGTGGTGCTGCTAACGGTTGTGTGTTTGTTTTGTGCAGATGCCGGCTTTTGCGGATCAGAAGGTCCACATGAAGGATCCAGCACGCGTGCAACAGATCGTGGATTGCCTCATCAGTGGTGGCCCCAAAAAGCTACAGGTAATGTACCATTGCACGTCTCAATCAATGCTCTGACAAGTGTTGACAAATGTGGCCATACAAGAGTTGTCCTCATTTTTACTTGACATGTTTCTGTGACTATATCAATCCAAACATCAACACTTTTGTTCCTCATATCCATGTGAAGATGCATGGATAATCGTGGATGAATTTGCCAACACTTCCCGGTTAATTATGTTGTCGGCATTTTCGTTCGCACAACTTGATCAGTTTAAAACCTTCCGCAACTACTGCCGAGGAACCTCCTAGCCGTGGATATAAACCCATCCATCCCCATCGTCGTCATCATAGTGGCTGCTCATCCCTATGGAATAACTGGACAACCTGAATCGCTTTTGACCACGAGCCAACCCGATCGGATACGGTGAACAAGGAAGGCCCCCTATGGGGACCTCATTTGCCAGTAAAAATATGATAATTGGTTCTTTACCCTTCTATCTGGCAACAAAACTGACACCTTTTTGCAAGGAGTCATGTTTGCATAGACCGCAATACCTGCAGTCATAATACAAACAAAAGAACATAACTCTGATAATGTGCACTGTCCTTGAAGTTGATTGGTCCACACCCGAGACAGCTTTCCTTCGAGCCTAGTCTCATATGGGTTGGACCAGATGACGCCAAAAGGCGCCTTTTGGCGTCATCTGGTCCAACCCATATGAGACTAGGCTCGAAGGAAAGCTGTCTCGGGTGTGGACCAATCAACTTCAAGGACAGTGCACATTATCAGAGTTATGTTCTTTTGTTTGTATTATGACTGCAGGTATTGCGGTCTATGCAAACATGACTCCTTGCAAAAAGGTGTCAGTTTTGTTGCCAGATAGAAGGGTAAAGAACCAATTATCAAGGAAGGCCCCCATCTGTCTTGACAGGGAGCTGTTCGTTCCTTTGTCACATGTGACGCGATTAGTTGCTTGGTTTTTTACACTACGCTTGTGTCAATCTTGATTTGAAGCTTTCGTGACTGCAGGAATCTATACTCTTTGCTTCTTTCGGTAAAGTCACGTAGGTAGAAAATTAATAAATCGCGACGTTTTTATCGCAACACAAGCAACCGTCAGCAGTTCTGCTGCTGTGTTTGTTTCACCTGATGACGGTTGCTTGTGTTGCGATAAAAACGTCGCGATTTATTAATTTTCAATCTACGTGACTTTACCAAAAGAACCAAAGACGACGCTTGTGCCACAAGTCTATCAGAGAAATGGCTTCTGAAAGTCAAGATTATTCTTCCATAAACCAGCTATGGTCCAGGTTCTATTGCTCAGCACATATTTTAACTCTGCGGCAATGGCTTGCTGCATAATCAACCATTAAGATCTTTTGTACGTCTTTTTGAAGTCTATGAATGTATATAAATAGCTTGAGGATGTTCTTTGGCTTTTAAAAGACAATTTTGTACTTGAAGTTCCTCTTCATCATGTGCCCCCTGATTTTGTTAGTTTCGCTCATCTCCAGGTGAAAAAGAGGAAATATAGCAATCGTTATAAAAACATATTGACAGTGGTGTTCCTAATGTACCGTCGTACTTATAGCTTGTGCAAGTTCGCAGCCATTTAAAGCATCGGTTGTGTTATTTAAGACAAAACAACCGCTCTGTTTCTTCATTATACAACCACGTTATGTAAAGAAGAGACGGCAACATGTAGGGGCGTGTGGTATTGTTTTGCAAGCCACGAGCTCGGGTGAATATTGACGCACTGTCTAGCTGCATTCCAGAGAGCAAGGCTAAAGAGGTCGATACTTATTCATATCTGCAAATAATGAGAAAACCCCACACAGAATAAAAATTGCAAACCATCGCAACAGAGGTCCGCACACTGACTTTAATCGTAGCTTTTTAAAATGTGTGGCCCGGAGAAGGTTTTTCTGTAACTTGACGTGCCAAATGTTGGGCTGAAAGCATATGTGCAATGTACATGTTTCTGTATCCTTATACATCGTTCTGAAGTAGCTCGATGGCCGAGTGGGATCATGAGTAAGCTTTTGAGCCAACTTGTCTGAGCACCAGCTATTAATGAGACATTCTGAGATCCTGGGTGCATTTGAGCAACTCATTTTGCGCCTTCCGTATCATCTAAATAATTTGATTTATAACAATTACGAAAATATTATGCAAGTAAAAGCCTGTTCGTATGCAAATGGTGGGCACTCATCTCCGTTGGTAGCCATAAATCAGCGGTGGAAATTCCACGTTCCAAAGGCAGTAGCCAGCATCTCATTTGAACCACCATCTGCTTATCTTCACACAAAATGGGTTTTCCAGGAGGTAAGTTGGGGATCGGTCAGCACTGTACACAGAGTTGAATTCTCAGCCCTTCCGATTGTGGGTTGAACACCGTTTAACCTCACGTGGCTGATGACAAAACATTGCATATTTTCACGATAGTCCCCACACACATTTAAACCCCTGTTTTTTTATGATTCACAGGTGATAACAGACTTTGACATGACACTGACAAGGTTTTCCAACAATGGAAAGAGGTGCTCGACTTGCCACAGTAAGTGGGTGCACTGTCAACAAGCACAGCTCCCATCATCGCTGCTCAGCTGCTGTTGTTGAACATTGAGCACCTACGATTGGCACGGTTGGCTGTGGTGCAGCGCAAAAGAAATGTAAACATACACATTGCTGTCAACCCCTTATCAGTGCTGCCTACCTCATTGCAGACCAGTTCACATCTCGGTTGTCACCCCGTGCCCCTTATAAACCTCAACGTTCATCCTACAAAGTCCCATCACAAGGGAGAAACACAAACAAATAGGCAAAGATAACATGTTTTTGCCCGGATGAAAACGGCTGTACGCCGTATGGACCTGAAAACTCAATTTCCATGTGCAAGAATACGACGGGTAAACCGTTCGGGTTGACGGGTATGCATACAAGTCGTTTTAACCCAATACAGGCAGGCGGTCTCCGCCTTTACGATGTCACAATGCCTTCCTGGAAACTCCGTCGTCGTATATTGGACCGTATTTTCCCATAGACGGTCGAAGCAGTAGAAACACTCCTTTTTATGAGCCATATTTTTCAGGGTTCAACCGGTAAAAAATCCACAAAAACACTCGAATAACAAAAGCTCCGCGCCAAGTCACGTCGGAAACCAGACTGACTGTTCAAATGTGTTCCGAGTCGTGTCGGAAGAAGCGTCGTAAATCGGGTTTCTGCCGCAATAAATCGATCCATGGTGGCGTTGTATAAAAGTCGTGAATGTGTGTGTAGTTAATCGCCTGTACTTGTCCGGTTGGACATTTATATTTTATTCCTTTGTCCCTTTTTTTGCAGATGCAATTGAGACTTGCAATCTAATGACAGACGAAATAAAGAAACAGGTACGTCCACTTTTTATCCTGATGATTTTGTACGTTTCACTATTTCACGTGCTTCCCTCCATCTTAAGTTTATTCGCTAATGCAACTCTTTTAACCTCCCCATCCTGTATAGTTCTGTAACCAGTAACCCTCTTCATGATATAACCAGTCAAACCGCTCAAGTCGACCTTTCACCTTCCGCACTGTTGCTGCTGTTGTGTGGAATTTCTGCCCGCTTTTTGTCCGCATTGCTGGCATTTTCTTCCTGTTCAACAGCTTCCTCGAGATACATCGCTTCTACTCTGCGTATGCATGCCTGCCATCACAGTTCAAATCAAGACAAACTCACCGCATTTGTGGTTATACCATTCATTGTCTTATAACAGGAAAATATACAACGCAGAAGCGTGCTCACCACATCTATGCCTCTATATAAGGAACGAAACGGGTGGACTTCACAAATCTGGCTGTCGTCTGATGAAGCTAGTTGTAATTACTGGTGAAACATCGTACTCAGATTGTAAATGTCGTGGCTTGGCTCTCCAACACATCGGTGTGCTGTACTAGTAACGTATTGGCATTACGTGACAACCCTTACTAGTTGTCTGTATCAAGTGGTGGCGGGTTTTAACGACGCATTTATATATTTACGCGATCTAACCCAAAAAACCTCTTATGGATGATAGTGTTGTTGATTCAATTTTTTAATGAAGACTTGCCATCTATTTGACATAATTTCATCTTCATCACTGACGTGACTATTTATTGAAACTCGCTATGCATGTTAGTGGAACATAGGTAATTACATAACTAAGCACAAATCCATTGTTTCGTTTATAAATGAATTGTTTTCAGTCCTGCCTATTGGTTTTCAAAGTCAAGATTATCCAACAGCATTTGTTTTAGGAAGCAAATTCAGGTTTGGTTTTGACTTTCTGGGTCCCATCAGCAGAGTTGGGCTCATTAAACAAACACTGCTTGCGTTGTCGTGTTATTGGCAATAGCCCTCTTTTTCAATCATGGGACCATGTTCCACACACAAATCAACATGGTATGCTTGCTTAAACGTAGTCTGCTGCATATAATCGGTCTGCAAAGCCAGTAGGCCATTACACTCGAAACATTTAGTTGATATGTGAAGAAACATTTTTTTTGTTTATTATTTCACCCGCTGTTTTCATTACTTACATCCCACTGCTGTATATCACTTGAAGATATTTCATTTATAATAAATCTAAAATGGTTGTTTTGTGATTAGCACAAATGCAGAGCACTGAATTATTGTGGTTATGATTGTTTTTTTTAATTATCATGCATGCTTTAATCGGGGAAGCCAAACTGAGCCTCAGGACTCGTTTTCATGAGAGTCCTGCCAAGTTTTTTATGTTGCTGTTGTGCAATAACCAAAGAGACTGATTGGCAGATACTTTGTCAGCATTGGGATCTTTGGCCAATAAAAATGATATTGTATTTTTTTTCAATGTGAGCAAATCTGGAGAACCCGGAGGAAAGTCATCCAGAACAGGGGGAGATAACATACAAACTTCACACATGCCCCCAAGTCTGATTAATTGCTTATTGTTTGAATGCCATCTTTGTTTACGTTTATGAATTGTGACTGCCGAACATCGTATTTGCATTATAAACATTTAATGTTTCCCCCAGATGGCTGCACTGAAGTCAAAGTTCTACCCCATTGAGATCAACCCCAATCTCTCTGCTGAAGAAAAGATTCCTTTCATGGTTAATTGGTATGTATTGTACAAAATAAAAGTCTCCGCGATTGGCTGTATTAATCGTATTTATGCATCTTATATAATTGTGTTGTGTCTCCTTTTTGTTCAGTGTAATTGATGGGTTAACTTCTGTGTCTAACCGGTAATTCTGTAAGGAACTGTCGGAGCCCACGAAAAGCTGTAAATTGGGCATTACTCTTTCGTATTCGCAGTGAAGAGGCAGGCGCACAACCAATACCATTGACGCCGGTCGTGCCTCTGAACCTTCCCATAACCTCCTCGATTTGTTTTGATCCCTGAAATATTGAATGGAAAAGTGCACGAGTCGAGTCCCTCGACGATACCCCTGATCAAACTCATGTCGGAAGGTGCTCCACTCCGTTATTGTGCTGCATCATTGGTAAACATTGGCAATCATTCCACAGGACAGCCGGTCTTGAATTCTCACAAAGTGGTAATCATTGTGTCAACCTCAGAGTGGTGTTGTATTTTTTGTTGACTACTATTCCCTCGAAAAATTGCCTGTGATCAACATGGAGCGATCCCAGCGCAATCCAATCAATTGCACAAAAATTAGCGTTTGTGTTTTTCTGCGCAGGTGGTCAAAGTCCCACGACCTTATGGTGGACATGCAAATCCGAAAAGAGCAGCTGGCCAAGGTGGTGCAAGAGTCTGATATCCAGCTCCGGTAAGCATCGACGCACTTACCCCAACCCTCCCAGCTTCACAGGCCACAGCAGTGATGTGTAGCATGATCAGAATGTAATGTAACTGGAGTGGCTCCTCCAACGGGCATTGGATCTTTGACAGCCATGTTGTCCTCCACCAGTTATTCATTGTTTTGGAGGTAAGGTGGGTGGACATCTGTGAAAAAAGCTTCATAGCTCATTGGAATCCTCCAGTCTAAAGTAATGTTCTGATTTTGAGAGCAAACGAATTAGGCGGGACCGCATTACTTTTTATTTGCTCTCTGCCACCACCCGTGGGAAGCTCGGTGTAGTGAGGGAAAACTGAAGACTGGAAAAGCCGATCCCCATGTACCGTTACACCCTTTCACTCTAAAAATAGAGAGTGCCTGCAAGCATTACACGTGGCCGTTAACATGCCCGCCCACATTTAGCGCTGCAGCAACGTACGTGCATTGCGAGCGAAAGCACTCCTTCACTCGCAACATTTGCGTTTTCATTCTGCCTGCATGCCAAGGTTCAGAGTAGAGCTAGAGAATAGTAACGTGTTCATTACTGTAGATCAGCAGAAACGTCAAAGTGTGCATGTTGTCTGTTCGGCAATTATTTCCTATGCTTGTTCGCATGTTTTTAAATGTCAGATATAATGATATGTGGAAAGGAAACTAACATTGTACCGTGCACAGAGGGTTGGACTTTCAGTATGATTTGGCTTGCAAATCAGTGAGGATACAACAACAGTTCACAGAGACTTTGTACACATACTGTTTGAGTGTATTCTTTTGATAGGATAATCCAATGTATTGTGCCATTCTATCGTAATAAAAAAAAATGTCATGCCCGCTAGAACATATGGTCCTGTTACAATGGCATCAGTTGTGCCAAACTGAAATCATGCTGTCACTGTGTGTCCGTGACATCGCTTGTTGGTGAATCATGTTATAGAGAACTTCATATGTATCAGAAAATAAGGCACCAAGTTCCCGTGTAGTATTAAAATCACTCCATTTATATAGCTAGAAATTATTTTACCTTATTCACTGTGTCCTAAATACATCGATTGTAAAAGGACATGCATTTATTTTATACCCATTTTTCAAAGGAGATGTAGATTCCATTGATGTTGTTAACGCTTTCCTCTCTTTATTTGATTATTTTCAGCTCTTTGTCAATTCGGCACAGGGTGAAGGCCTCCGCAAGTCATTTCAGACATGGGGGTTATTTGATCTTACTTTACCGCACTGGTCAGTGTGAGATGGTGAATGGGGAGCGACCACGAGCATTTCACTGACGTACTCTATAACTCAGCCGTGTTGAGAGTTCAGTCCCTATAACCATCGCTGCATTTTTATTTATTATCTTTATAATCAGCAAGGCTTTCTCAAATACCCAACACAAATGAAAGTTACGAAGGTCGCATTGATTCCATTTAAAAAGCTTGTTTGCGTACCCAGCATCGGAGTGCCCCGCTTTCTCCATGCCCTGCGCGCATACTACTCAGTCCATCCCAGCTAGAACGGTGTCTGCTTCCCACCCCTGCGCAGGGATGGTCACACGCGGTTTTTCGAAGCGCTGCACCAGCTGGACGTGGCGGTGTTCATCTTCTCGGCCGGCGTGGGGGACATTTTGGAACACGTGCTGAACAATGCGGGCGCCATGCGCCCCAACGTGCAAATCGTCTCCAACTACATGGACTTCAACGAGGAGGTGCGATGACCGAGCGATCGCTGCGAGCTTGTGTTGAGTCGATGCGGCTAAAATGATGCATCCTCCAGAAGGCCGTGTCACCGATGGGATGTGGGAAACATGCTTGTACTATTCACGTGGCGAGACGGAGATGCAAAGAAAGCATAGTCTGCCTATTTTATTAATGCGAATGACGGGTCGGTTACAGCGCTGCGTGGCTTTTATGGAACGAGCTCTGTAGAAAACTCTGCAAATTGATTGAAGTACCATCCAGAATCCGTTACTTAATTCGCTCGTCGTTAATCGCATGGGAGCCTTCAACACGTCACGCCCCGGGTGGGATCCCGCTCAATCCCTGCGACTCGGTGTGCGAATCGTCCACGGTGCGTCGTCGTGTTTCCGCGTCTCGCAGGGCGTCCTGCAAGGCTTCAAGGGGGAGCTGATTCACACCTACAACAAGAACGAGAGCGCGCGCTCCAACGCCGGCTACTTTGAGAGACAGCGCGACTGCACCAACGTCATCCTGATGGGCGACTCAATGGGTGACGTGCGCATGGCAGACGGGGTCCCGCACGTCGACAACAAACTCACCATCGGCTTCCTCAACGACAAGGTGGGGGGGAGGGGGGGTTAGATCGTGGAAATCTAAATGTGTCGTTTACCCTCCTCGTTCTTGTTGTAGGTGTGGATCGGCTCTTACTTGAAGCCCACAATTCTGGCAAATCGCCTGATCAAGCTGGTTGTAATCGCCAGCAAAACGTCGTACTCCCATTGTAAATGTTGTGGGTTTACTCTCCAATACAGCTGTGTGCTGAAGTAACTAATTGGCAAGTTTTATTTACGTGACAAACCTTACTAATTTGCTGTGTCGGGTCGTGGTGTGTTAACGACACATTTATATTTAAGCGGTCTAACCCAAATCCTTTATTATGGACGAGGTTGCTGTTTTGTGCATGCAGAGGCTGTGTTGACCGATGTCCTCCTCTCAAATAAAGGTCGGGCTGCAGTCTTCTGTCATACACAGCCATTTTTTGTAACAGGGGTTAAGCCACCCATAGGGCAATCACTGTTGACCTCATGAAGTGGTTCTTATTTTATTGACCCAGGGGGATGTGGCACTGGGTGAAACCACGATCGAATTTATTGAAAACTTTTACTTTTGAACTGAGTGCTCTAACCGCTGCACCACACAGCCACCGTGCCGCCTGGCTGTATGGAGAATCGTCTTTGTCGTCGTCACCGTCATCATCATCAACCATGATGTAGAGACTGCTGGATGAAGGCCTCTGCAAGCTGTCACCGTCCCTAATTGCCTTGTGGGAGACATGGAGTAACAGTTGGGTATGACCTGCCTCAGCAGACTATAGTTAACACCAAATAAATAGAATCCCGATCCATTGCACGAATCGAACCTGGCAGAATCCCTGTCCAAGTCGCATTCCCACGAAAGAATCGGGCGACTCGTGCGGCAATCGTTCCTGCAGGAAATCCCCCCACCGCCAGCCCTCGCGGCGTTGCCTGCGGGGTGCCGCTTGTGAATGGTCGGCGCTGTGCGTGTGGCGGGTGCAGGTGGAGGAGAGCCTGGAGAAGTACATGGACTTGTATGACATCGTTCTCGTCCGTGACGAGACTCTGGACCTGGTGAACAGCATCCTGGAGGAACTGCAGAAACGCACTCAAGCGGACTGGGCGGGGGAGAAGAGCGACACGCCCAGTATCGTCTAGTACTCAGTAATAATATTAATATTGTTATTGCTTGCACGTTTTTTTATTTTAATATTATATTGAAATACTTCATTTAACCTTTTCAGACTTTATGGGTGTCACGTTTATTGATGCAATCTGATGCACTTGACGGTACAGAGGAGAAAACTGCAACAACTGAAACGCACAATGCTTTCTTTAATATTTTTAGATGCACTTTTAAATGTATGAATACATTGGTGCAATGTTTATTTCTGCGTGATATTTTTAAAAGAAAAGTTAATGAAGACTAACACCTACGCAAAGCTAAATGGAGGTCTGGTTGGCCTCGTGGGTGGGTTTGGCAGGGGCGGCCTCTGCATCGTGTCGGAGTAACGGATTCACGTTGCGTTTCGCAATGGTCACTTGTGCAGCTGATTGTTTTGTTTATCGGAATGCAGCACTCTTGCGTATTTAGTGATGCGCCTTTGCTGAAATTGCATCGGAGCCAGTCGTTGCGGGAGTGTTGTGTGGTGTTCATTTTGGCCAGTACAGCACAGTATTGATGAAGACATTTGCGTTATAACCACTGCCATTGTTTTCCACTCATTGCATAGTCAAACAACCTGCACTTGCTGAGACTGTGAAATCCAAGGTGGAGGCAGTTGGGAGGCGTTTATTTCTAAAATAAGCACTCGGGTGTGGTGATGGTAAATATTGGTCAAGTTCATCTGCCAGCGATGGGCTCTGTGTGAAGTTCAGATGGGATACATTTCTGCAGTGACTTTTACCAGTCGAATAAAAACCACCGTGTTTTTTATTGTGACACAAATTAATATCTGTCCCGCACTTCGGACCTGTTTGCTTACAGATGCTATTTCTAAAGGACCGTCGGCTGTGTAAAATCTATTAATTTACCTGAACAGTCCAAGCTAAAACGATGTATGGAAACCACACGGTCGTGTATTTTGTTTGCACTTTCAGTATAACTTGTTATGAATGCATCGAACGCTAGAACATGTATTTAAATTACGTAAGAAAATACGTTTTTATAATTACAATATTGCGGAAATCGCAATAAACAAATGTGGCGGTGTGGTGGTGCAGTGGTTCGCGCACTTAGCTATGTGTTGTGCACCTGGCAACCCAAGTTTGATTCGCGGCCATAATTACCTTCAGTGGAGCTTGGTGATCTCGACCATCCCACTCCGCCCTCTGGCTTGCACTGGTCAGCACGTGGAGTGTGGGCACACAAACTCCACGACTGGACCCGGGTCTCGTTCACTTGGACTTTAAACAGATTTCGATTCAACTGTCTATAGCAGCCACTGTTACGTTATTCGTTAATTCACAGCACGATATTTTGCAATAAAGCAGACAAAACACCAGGGGGCAGTTTTTTTCGATAATTTCCTGCAGTGTATTTGATGGAAAAGCACTTTTCAGTATTGTTTGTGTCGTCACCAATTCCGAAGCTTCCTGGTACTGTTCAAGGATTATTACGAATGTTGTCCAGAGGGCCAACTCTTCCCTTCTCGCCACATGCAGCTGTCGGTCATCTTGTACGTGTTATTAAAAAAAAACAGGCTGAAATGCGTTATTCATAAAGTACGTGGACAGCTGACATAATCACGTCATTTTGATATCGGCATTGATTGTTTTTAAAACATGCACAATCTAAACATGTTTTTTCATCCAGACATGACTTTTACAAATAAAAAAAATATTTCAAAGCATTGGTGACGTGAATGTTTGTTCTTCGTGCCTTCCTGAACAACCACCCATGACTTCGCCCAGATGCTTGTACACAGCAAGATGCATCTCCTGCCGGCATCTTCCTCATCCCCCAGTGGGTGAGTGATGGATCTGCTTGGAAGGTGCGCGCTCGGCTCTTGGAGACAATGTTCACGTTGTGGGGTCGTCCGAGGTGGCGACGGATCGGGGATGCCTTCATCCGGCAGTGGTGGTGGTGGTGGTGATGATGGTGACTGTATTATAATATCTAGGATTGTATTAGAATACTTAGTTAATATTTGATAGCAGTCCGGAAGGTGGCAGTGCATGGTGTGGTTTTCATGCTTCCATGGATCCCATGATGATGGCATGCGGCCAGGGCGCCTCTGTCGTGAGTGCCCCCATGTCACAGTCAAAACCCTCGTCCTCTATCGCGTCCACTCAGTCCATCGTTATTTATACAGCCCTTTGTCAATCCACATTACGTAAGTAATGTGGGTTGTTTGACCGTACTTCGTGCTGTTCAGTGAATGTTAGATGGGGTGGGGGCGGTTAGATATCACTCTTTGAGGGTTAATAATTCATGTATCACGAGCTTTTTTGCCCGTCCAAGGACGGGTGGATATTACAGTAAATGTGAATTATTCAATAGAAAAATTGTTCAGCTCATTATTATTGAGTGACGTCACCCGCTAATGATTATTGGGGAGGGGTGTGGCATGTGGAGTGACGTCACCCCCTCATGGTTATTGTGGAGTGGTGCGGCATGTGGAGTGACGTCACCCACTCATGAATATTGATGAGGGAGGTGGGCCACATGTGGAGTGACGTCACGCGCGGGACGGACAGACATTTCTGGGTGATTATCGTCGGTCATCATTGCACCTCGTCTCCCAAGAAGGAATATGGACCTTTCACCCCTGGAATATGGCCACCAGTGTAAATGAGTACTGTCCACCAAATGCTATTTTGTGTGTGTGCATTTCAGGGATGTTCTTGATTTTGTTTTTATTAATCTGAACAATTTGAGTATTGGGCACAATTTACGAAATTTCGGAACATCCCAATTTTTCCAATCATTCGCAGGAAGTGATGTCACATATGGCATCACCTCCACGCTTGTGGCAATACGGTATGTCACGAATGTTTTAAATAAAACAAATGTACGTAAAAAATGATTTGAAACAAATATTAGAAAGAAAATATATTCATTGTTTTTACATCATTAAAATAATACAATTTAGTTCATAATGCAATATAGTCAATTTAAATCTGAAAATATTAAAGAAAATCTAAAACTTGGCCTCAACATCCAAAAATCTAATTTCCAACAACAAAATTGCATCTCAATCTCATCTCTCATCCAAGCATACCCCGTAACCTTGAGGAGATGCGTTTCTTTGTAGACGTGTCGTCATTATAAAAATAGCGAAAAGCGTGCAACCTTGCTGTTCATGGGAAGGGATACTTTTTTGAAAAATAATTTTTCAAAGAAATAACGACTTCGCCAGGGAGGTGCGAGTTTTAAATTTAGAGGCCGGCACCCCCCCTACCTCTTTTTTGTGTCCTTGCCACCAGAGTGTCACATCCATCCATCCATCCCTGGGCCAGCATGTGCCACTTTGCCTGGCCCCCCAGAAAAGTCAGTGTGCGGTGGCTCATGCTACGAATTTCCTCAGCCCTTGATTCTTTGCCCCCCCCCCCACGCCCTAACCCCCCCCAACCCCGCTCCCCACCGGTGTGTGTGTGGCAGCCGGCAGACAGAGGCCCCTTTTCACCGCTGTCTTTCTTCGCGCGGGCCCGAGATGTGACATCGTGGCGTTTTCGCGTGTCTCTCGCCAGACTCGCGGGGCCTTGTTTAAAAGTGGTGGGGGGGACGAGGCGGGTGGACGGGGGGTGGATGGTCCCGTCGCGTTCGTTAACAAAGTGGCGAGCTCTGAGTTATATAAGAGACGGGCGTTAGCACCGACTCGCGCGTGAACAACAAAGCGGGCGTTTGTGATCGTGTCCTTTGTGTTGTCAACTCGACGGATAATGCTGGTAGCTTTTCCGCTTAAAAAAAACTCTTATGAATTAACTTTGTTTATTTACCCCGAGTGAATTTGCAACTTCACGAACGCTTGTTGGATTTTTGTTTTTTTAACAATGGCTTTGATTTCCAAGGACAGCTGACTTCCCTGCCACGTGGCCAGTTGGTGAGGAAATCGCCTTGTATTGTGTACGGGAGTGATCAAAGGGTCGAGCGTTAGGTGAAAAGTACATTTTCAAAAAATCGATTTTACCAAAATTCATTCTCAGAGATGGTTTAAATCAAACATTTGGACGTTAACTTGAAAAACAATTGACCAAAAAAATATCTGAAACTTCCAGCGAAATCTCAAGGAAAATGAGAGAAAATTTGGTAAAATTTGGTGAAAGCTCATACTCATTTATAAACGTGGCTCTATGAAACGGGCCTAACGACAACGTCTAAAGAACCACGGGGAGAAAACAGTTCCCTAATGACAGCGAACTGATGCGCGCCGTGGATCAGAGGTTTGTAGAGTAAGACGATGTACTTCTGGTCGGATATAAAAGCCACCTGTTTCACGCTTAAAGGAGCTTTCTTGTCTTTATCATGTGCAACTAATTGTGTAAGAAAGGTAAAGGTGTAATATGCTTGTGCTGTGCCACTGCTGGCAGAAATGCCTCCATCAGAGAGTGTCTGACCTACTCTGGGGATGGAGAGAGATTTAAGAAACATTCCCATTGTTTCAACCGCAACGCCAGGAGCTCGAAGCAGCGAGCTCTGGATTGAAAGTCAGTCCAGTGTGCGAAACCATCACACCGCCACGGATGAATCCCACCATTAAGAAAAACTCAACGGAAAAAAACTATGTTTTTCAGATATGCACCAAAGCTGCGTGTGCCGGGCTGTCTGAAATGAGTTTGCAGGCTTCAATACTTATTTTTTTAAAAAAATACTTGAAAGAGACTTTTAAGAGCACCACCATAATGGCATCATTGCGGTGTGAAGGTTGTGCTCGTAACAGCAATGCGGTACACGTATGGTCGAAACTCGGGCCTCCGTGTCTCTGTAATTACATCATTACAACAGATACGGGCAGTCATCGACTTGCGAACGCGATTCGTTCCTAGAGTTCGTTTGTAAGTCGAACTGTTCGTAAGTCGGAAAACATTACTCTACCCTACACACTAGTCTTTGACATATATATACTGAAGTGTAAATATATATAATATTAATATGTTAATGTCCTTATACAAGAAGAGACTCGCTAAGTATCAATATTATTTTAGGATAATCATGCTAATGATGTTTTGGCTCATCTCTTGAGTAATTCGCATGTGGGAAGATATGGGAGCGAGCGTTTGAAGAAAACTCAATACAAATAGGTCAACAACCGACTCATTAAATTTCGATTTAAAGCTTTCGTGACTGCAGGGATTCATCTTCTTGGTTCTTTCGGTAAAGTCACGTAGAATGGAAATAATAAAATAATAAAAATAAAACATAATCAAATAATTCTCACGACATTCAGACTCTGTCTTCTCGACAGACATGTTCTCCACTTGAGGACGGCTACTTGCGTTGTGGCCGAAACGTCGTGAGAATTATTTTATTATGTTTTATTATTTTATTATTTCCATTCTACGTGACTTTACCGAAAGAACCAACAACCGACTCATTGTATTGCCACGTGCCGGCCACATCGAAGGCCTGTCTCGTGCGCGATGCCTGCGTGAGACACCAAACCCCCCCCCCCCCCCCCCCCCCGAAGCCCCGTCTCGGAGCAGGCCGTGACGTGTGCGTGCCACTCTACCCCCGCAAAGACGTGGAGTAACGTCACACTTCTTCCTGTGTCTTTCTCTCTCTCTGTGTGTGTGCACGCTTGCAGCTACGAGCCCGGCCACCCGAGTTCAAATCCCGATCACGGCCACGGACACCAGTGACGATTATTTGAACCGATCCTGGGCCTCCCATGGGTCGACTCAGCTTCAAATGAGTACCTGGGTGCGGTGTGTAAGCATCGCCACTGGGGAGACAAAGGCGGCCGGGCGTGGTGTTGGCCACCCACCCCTACGTTTTCCGTGGCGGCCTTCATAGGTGCTGGCTGACGGCACTTGCCCCAACAGTATTTTCAGCCTATACGGGGGATCTTTGTCTTTGCTGCAGCTACACGTTTAAGAAATTGTAGACATTACGCCTTTCGAAATTTCCACTTTTACTATTGACCCAGAGGATTATTGGCACTGATATTTGGCACGTACTGGAGATTGCATAGCAAAGCGATGACATTTGTCATGGGTCAATGGAACGTTTGATGATTCATTTCCCGCATAAACCCGGCAACTTAATGTGGGACGTATTGAAATACATTTTTTTAAAAATCTTGAATAGTACTGCAAATGTCTGATCTCTCTCACAAATGAGACATTGTGGCGAGCGTCATCACTTCACGACATCCACAGTCCGACGCCGTCTGTGGCACCGAAATTGGAACGGCGTGGCAACTTGCGCGCTTATTTGAGTTGAACGCATTTTGGGACGAAAACGGTAAAGTGCCGTTCATGAAAGGCTCCATGTGGCTTCATCATAACGCTGCTTTAGTTCGCAGATATAATCATACTTTCTTGACTTAAAGCTTTCGTGACTGCAGGAATTCATGTTCTTGGGTCTTTCGGTAAAGTCACGTAGATAGGTTATTTTTTGTTATTTTCTTTGAACCTATCTACGTGACTTTGCCGAAAGACCCAATAATTTAATAATACTTTCATTTTATATTGCGTCATTCATGCTAATAGCATCCCATACCGCTGTGCATTAATGTTATATATGTATAAGGACCAAATCCCAGATATGTAGCTTAATTTTAACTTGTGTTAAAAACCAATCTTTCATGGCATCCAACTCACTTGGCCATGCCTAATTGGGGAAATGTGATTTTATCAACAGCACAGCATTGCTAAAATTAGTTTCCTACACCTGGATACAAATGGTCGAGGAAACCATTTGTAAGGATACCAGGGATCTCGGTTTACTGACAATATTCGGAACCCACTGAAGCTATGCACTTTAAAATCTAGATTGAAAGACTATATTTTTTAGGACTGCTTTTTTGTGTTTAGTTTGTTGTTGTTCTTCCCCCGCACCTACGATTAGCACGGTTGGCTACGTAGGGTACGAAAGAAGTTCAACGTATATTATGCAGAGAATGCGGTGCGTAAAACTCACTTTGAAACTCGTTCTGAAGACACCAAGGGCGTTCAAGGAAATGAAGATGATGTCCTTTGGAGGAATGGTGACATTTAAAGTGTGACGTTAAGCTCTGATGTCGAGTCAAGATCTTTGGGAGATGCGGAGCGAATCCTGGAGGCATTCCGGAGGAGTTCCAGCGGGAACGGTTGTTCGCTATAAGTTCAGTTCCGAGAAGTTGTTCACCACATTCGCACTCTCGGCCGCCCTTGACTCTTCATTTGTTGAAGCGAAAGTGACCGCGCCAACCCAGAGACATTGCAGCTGATGACTTTGGCTTCCAGAAGCCACGCTCTTGCTGGCTCGTGACGTGTGTGCCCGTGTGAGTGTGTGCGAGTGAGTGCGTGAGTGTGGCACTGTAGGGGGCACAGATAGTGCATCGGCCAGTCATCTGAATCAGTCGACCTATGGTACCTGTTGGGTCTGTCCCGTGACCTCCTGCCAGTGGGCGTTGGACCCCTCACGTGGCCTTAACGCGCACATAGTCTGGCACAATCGCCGTGGTGCCGTCACCGCCACTTAGTGGCGAATAGCGATTGTTGTTGTTGTTGTTGTGTGCGATTGTGTGTGTGAGTGTGCAGATATTAACTTACATTATAAACGGATAACTGAACTAGTAAGGATTTAATAAATTCCGCTAATTTTATTACAGGACCTCACATTTGTCAAACGCCTCAATGCAATCATACGCAACCCACTCTCCCTGTCCATTGCTATATAATAACGATCGTTTATATATTTTTTTCTCATGGATACATATTCTGTGACTTAAATCCACATCACATGCGATTCCTGTTTTACAAAAACCCTCAACTCCTGCCAGCAGACATTCTCTCTAATCACCGCAGTACACTTTACATTCTGTCAAGGTAAAACAACACCAATGCCACGTCACTATGTTCTGCACGAGGGTACAGACTTTTTTTTTATCATAAAATATACAGAAGCAGCGGCATTTCTGGACAGATTTTAACTAAGCCCTCTACCATTTTATACATCACGCCTTGTAGTAGTCAAAAAGTCACGTCTACGGATGTATAATTAAGTTACACTAGGCGATATATCCTCGTGTTAACAACACTGAACAACCCACACGACATCACGCAATTACAAAGCTCTGCAACGTGTGCCTTCATGACCTGTCTATTTCCCAGGCCTCTTTGGGTGATTTCCAAGAAGCAAATGCTTTTACAGTAGAACTCATGTTATCTGAAACCCTATCCTTCCTATTATCCACAATTATTTGCAGATTTTTCGCATTCTGCATTGTGCAGCATTTTTAGCCATTTTTTTCACGGATAGGTGGAATACATTCTCCAGATAACTCGGATAATAAGATCCGCGATGTTCATCTCCCACATTACCACAGATAAGATTACTTCTACTGTATTTTCGTTTTCTCTGCCAGGGGATAATCAGTGCCACAGTCTATGGGTTTCTACCAAGCGTTAAAAGACTTCAGAACCGCAGGATGTAACGCTGTTCGCCCCCTGCACAGTAATACAATTATTTGGCTTTAGAGGAACGACGCATGTGTCTGTACGGGATGAGAAAGCACGTGGCATGTCACTGTAGCTTGTGAAGCTACAATCCTCGTAGATTCACGACGCCATTGTGGCGAGAATGAAACTCCCTCGCTTGCTATGCAGAAGGTCGTTTGATCCCGACTCTGACACCTGCTGTATGTTTGGAGTTTGCGTGTTCTCCCCGTGGTCGCGTGGATTTTTCTCCGGGTCCTCCGGTTTTTCCCTCTCAACATTTGGAAACAAGCGTTTTGAGTATTTGGCTGCAATACATTTCTACATGACAAGCCACTAAGTTGAGCTTTTATTTGTGGCCAGGTCTGCTGCTGAAACAAAGCTGTATAGCTCAGTGCGCCTTACCTGGTAAAATTAAAAAAGTAAAATAGACTCAAATGAGCCATATTAATTGTTTCCATCTAAATTCTTATAATGTGGCCAAAGTAACGAATCACGAAACTACTACTCAGTCAAGCTCTACCCACTGCTGGATCAAGGCCTCCCCCTAAGCCGCCGCCGCCACCAGCTCTCACGAATCCCGCGATGTCAGCTCCGTCTAACTCCCGCACTCGTGCCGATTCCACTGCTCCAGCCCTGCCGTGGGCGTCCTCTCGGGGGCATCCCTCCCCCCCCCCCCCCTGGCTGCCGTTCCGTCGCTAGGCTCGACCGCCCGCCATCGTCGCTTCTAGCGACTGCGTTCCCGTGTCTCTCGCTCACTCAGTGCCGGGTGTCCTCTAGCCCACGCGTTCCCCGCTTTTTCTCGCTCTGTCTCTCTCAATGCATTTCCAAGCATGCACCATGCAATTCTTCTCTGCGCGCTTCCCAGCTATTGTTCCACTCGCTTTGTCAATGTCCATGTTTGTGTGTCTATCCGTGTCACAGAGCAGTGGCTGTCAGAGTGCGGTCCCCGTTACCACGGGGGAGTGATCCACGACGGTCCTCCAGGTGGTCCCAGGGCTGTGACACAAACGCGGGTTGATCCGGACAATAATGACAACGTTAACACCTTCAGTTTCTTCCGCGAAATAATGTTTTACTCATATTTAATTTTCAAATTAAGTTAGGTAATCTACCCTCATTCAACTACCCTAACCCTAAGATCTCAATGCCACCCCCTAAACACAGCCCTCATAGATGCGTTAAAGAAAAAAAATGTGTGTTCCGGTAATATGAATAATTTTGTACAACTGGTATTTAGAGAGAAAGAGAGAGAAGTGAATGCGTTTTGTCAGCGGTGGCTGGGCGGTCCGCGAAAATGTTTGTATCAGCCGAGTGGTCCGCGGCCCAAACAAGTTTGAGAAAGACCGCAATAGTGTGGAGTGTACAGCGACTGAAACGCTTATTTGTGTGCCTTTGTTAAGTAGCACAAGCAACACTCCATCCTGTCGGGGTGGCCAGGAAAACGACAAATGGAAGCGATGTTGCCAACGATTGAAAATCACAGCGGTAAAATATATTCTCGGCTTCACTCGCGGCTCAGAGACCACCGCAAATAGCAACTCCGAGCTGGGTAGTGAGCTGGCCGCTGCAAATGCATTGGTGGCGTTTCGAAGCATCGGACTTAGGGCCAGGATTGAAATATTGACTGTGGCATATTCAGTTGAACACGTAGGAGGCTTTCGCGATCAATATCATCCATAACAGAGGTTTTTTGGGGTTAGAACGCGTAAATATATAAACGTGTTGTTAAACCCGCCACCACCCGACACAGCCAACCAGTAAGGTTTGTCACGTAAACAGAACGTGGCCAATTTGTCACTAGTACAGCACACCGGTGTGTTGGAGAGCAAATCTACAGACTGTAAATGTTGCGGGTTTACTCTCCAACACACCGGCGTGCTGTATTAGTAACTAATTGCCATGTTCTGTTTGCGTGATAAACCTTACGAATTGGCTATGTCGGGTGGTGGAGGGTTTAACGACACATAGTTCCGTGATCTAACCCAAAAAACTATATTATGTGGCATATTCATCAGCAACCATCACGATAAGTGGTTAACTGGTTTTAATTTGTCAGTAATATGCATTAATAGACTTGGGTTTATGGATAACATTTCACCAGTATAAAAATATAGATTTACTTCTCAATATACGGATATCAAATATCAACACATTATGAAGGTGGCTTAGATGTCTGGGTGGGACGTTCTGATAAGCTATCTAGCGCTATGCACATGTTGTCTAGATGCTTGTTAATGTGGCTTGCAAATTAAATAGCGTTCACTGCAGGACACTGCAATACCAACTCTTCTATTAATTTCTCCGCATATAGTGTTGGGAAGGAGCCATTGAAAGTAATTAAACATGCTTGCTACTATTAACCGAAGGCTATTAAGAGACCTCGTGGGGTTTAAGGTATAATCAAACTGTCAACAATCATTTCGCCACTCTCGATTTCTCGCTCGAGTTTCAGAAGCAAAATATCCTGACCTTTCAAAGTCCAGCGGCTGTTTCACCAACAACTCTGCCCTGCATTACAGACCGTAGGCGAATCATCGCAACTGTGAGGTTTACGTGACAGTCGGTTTGCTTAGAAAGTTATTCGTATCACTGTGCAGAATTCGTGCGGGGCGACAACTTTCGTGGGCTCCCTTTCCATCGCATCCACAGACCAGCAAGCCACAGCCGGTGGGTCCCGGTGAAGGTTCTCGTACTTTGGTCAGGCGTGACATATTTAACGGTGCTGATATCGATTTAGTCAAAGGTTAAGGTGCAGGCCTGACAAATATATTGGCAGCAGGACCTCCACTCGGGATGAGCTCGAGATAGAGAGAGCGAGCCCTACGGATGGTGTTTGTTTTGGCTCACCCCGTTCCACGCTGGCGAGACGTCTGGGAAGCAACGGAAGTCACGGGCCCACCCTTCACTCGGCCACACGCGGCTCTGCCGATCGACTAAGGGTGGCCAAAGCCAATTCGTACCGCTGGGCGGTACGGATTGGCGGAACGATTTGAGAAACTTGCACCGTTGTTTCAACCGACGTGCCGGGACATCGAACTGGGAAACTTACGGGTCAAAAGTTCGGTGCGTGATGGGTCAAGCCATAGACAATTTAATGTTTTTAAGTCTTTAGATTTTTGTCTGAAGCGTATGGTTCTGGGTGTATGTAATGGGTGACACGGCGACTGATAGAGAGGAGGAGTCTGTGCCGAGACAAATTAAACGCAGTTGACTGAGAAGCCGTAGGGCTGATAAAGTAGTTGGTGACAGTGCAGATGTCCCTTGAGAATCGGTGTTGTTGGAGTGGCATCTCTCATTCTGTTTCCCGACCGTAAACGTTTGAATATTTGTTAAATAAGTAATCAGCACGATTACTGACTCCTGGAAGTTGTACAATGTGAAATATATTTAGTGTTTTCAAAACGATGAGATTGTAGTATTTGACCACTGTTATGATTACTCTCTTTGAGTTAACGTACATTATGCTGATCCGATCTAGGTTGTGATTGGAGGCTTTGCCGAATGATGAGCATTTGGCTGCTGTGCTGACATGAACCCAAGCTGCGACCACAATCGTTTACAACCTTGAATCATTATTGTGGGCTATTTCTTTCAATGAAAGTAAGCATAAACAGCAACGAACTTGCACACGCGAAGCAATGGCAATCTGATTACAAACAGACAAAAAGGTCTAACCAGGGGCGTAATTTCGCGGGGAATATTTTCCAGGGGAGGGCGGGGATATTTTCTGGTGCTCAGCCCCGGATAGCTTCGGCTGAAACGAAGCCCTGGGCGTGATCGAACATATACTTCTGGTAACCCTCCCGCTGCTAACGTGACCACCGCGATGATGCTTTAGGCGGCCGTAGCACATCAACACTCTCAACACCGTCCGTGCATCACCGGCACCGCGACGCCGCCGCCGCCCCTACACAGTCTGGTGCATCTCAATGTTTTCCCGCTGCCTCGAGTGGCCCTTTCCGTTGAGCTGGAACGTGGACGACTGCTGCTGCTGCTGCCGCTTCTTGTAGCACCACACGGCGATCACGGCCACCACCAGCGTCGCGCACAGGACGGTCACGATGATGGCGATGATGGTGCCGTGCTCGTCCGAGGGACAGCCGCCTCCCGGGCACGGCGGCCGCGGCTGCGGCGTGGGGCCATCGCCGTGCCGCTGCTGACCTTCGACCTCGGACACGGTGCGAACCTCCGGCGGCGCCTCGCCGGCGTCCGTGGGCAGCGCCGAAGCGACGGGCTCCTCCGAAGCCTCGGCGCCTGGCCAGGGGTCGGCCGGCGTGGGCGACCTTGGATAGGACTCGTGGACGTCCTCGTCATCTCCGTCGTGGTCGTTCTCACCCTCATCCTCGTCTTCGACATTCGCATTGACATCGCCGTCCTCGAAATTGCCGTTGTTGTTGTCGTCGTCGTCGTCCTCGTCCTCGTGGTCGTCGTCGACGCTGTCGGTCGCGAACGTCTCGGGGGTCGTCTCGGGGGTCGTCTCGCCGTCTCCCGTGCCCACCGCTTCCCCCGGCCACACGGGCGGGCGGTCGGTGGCGACGTCCGCCCTCTCCGCGTCGCTCCAGTCCGGCCGCAGGGGCTCATCCTCCTCGTCCTCCTCGTCCTCCTCCTCGCCCGGAGAGGCGGTGCCGGGCAGCGGCAGCGCCGAGAGCGTCGGCGCGGCCGCGTCCTCCACGTCCTCCGCGTCCTCCCGGTCCGGCTCGCGCGAGGTCGTGGACGCTTCCTGAGGTTCGCCGCCGTCGTACGGCGAATCCTCGTCCACGCCGCCCTTGCTCGTCCGCTCTCTCTGCTGCTCCTGCTCATCTTCACCATCACGTTCCTCCTCTCCCATCTGCCCGTCATCCTCCGCCCTCCGCTCTTCCTCCTCCGCTTCCTCTTCACGCTCCTCGTCCTCTTCATCTGCCTCCTCTTGATTGTCCTCCCCCTCCTCGTGCCTCTCCTCCTCCTCCTCTTCCTCCTCCTCCTCCTCCTCTTCCACGTCCTCATCCGCCTCCGCGTCGTCCCCGAAGTCGTGCGCGCCGTCGTCCAAGTGGCCCCGGCCCCAGGAGAAGCCGGCGGGCGTCGTGCCGCCCAACTCGAAGCCGCCGTCGCTCCACTCGCCGCCGACGTCTCCTCCGGCGGCCCCGGCCTTCGCCCCCACGGCGTTGGTGGTCAGAAGTGCGGGGGGAAGCTGCCCTCCCGCCGCTCGGACAGCAGCCGCAGCAGGTGACCGCCGCCCTTGGCCGAGGAGCCGTGCTGCTGCTTGTCGAAGGAGGGGTCCGCGAGCAGTGGGGGAGGCCCCCTCTGAAGCAGCCTGCAGGATGTCCTGCGGCGGCACCCCGCGCGGCTTGTCGTGCTCGTGGCTGTCCTGCCACTTGGCGAGCTGCGAGGTCGCGGCGGCCTCGTCCGACTCCGCGTCGAAGGGCGCCGAGACGGCTGGCGGTGGCGGTGCTGGCGGCCGCTTTGTCCGGGAATTCGTGGCCGCGGCGGAGGTGCCATGCCGTCGTGCTCTGCCGAGAGAACGCGACAACGAGGCGAGGGTGGCTTTACGCAGAGGTCGCAAACGGGTTTTGATTTCTTACCCGTAACCTGTACCCGGCCGCACCAGGGTCGCAAATGGGTACCCTGTTCCCTACCCGTACCCTACCCGAAATGAGTGACAAACAGTTACTCACCAGTGACTCACGGCCTACCCGTACCCGGGTACGGGTAGCCGGGTATCGGGTAGGGTACGGGTATCGGGTACCCGGTTGCGACCTCTGGCTTTACGTCGTAGGAATCAGCGGCGACAACGCGCCGCGTGCGCGTGTGTGTATGTGCGTGCGCGTGTTCTGGAGCGGTGGTGTCGCGGTTAGCGCTACGCTGCGCTACGAACGCGGCGACCCGAGTTCGATTCCCGCTCACGGCCAACATCAGCGACGATTATCAGAACCGGGTCCTGGGCCTCCCCTAGGCCTGACTCAGCCTCAAATGAGTACCTGGTGCGGTGTGTAAAACCATCGCCGGTGGGAGAGACAAAGGCGGCCGGGCGTGGTGCTGGCCACTCACCACCTTCGTGTGCCATGCCGGCCTTCATAGGTGCTCGCTAACAGCACTTGCCCCAACAGTCTGTTAAGCCATATTTTTTTTTGTAACTTCATTCGCACCGTACGTATCCAACCGTGCTAATCGGAGGGCACCTCATTATTTGCCGTGCCCTGCGGCCCTCCGATAGGGCACCGACCAGAGGGGACGACACCAACGGTCTGAGCGTGAGAGAGTGAATGGCAGCACGGCAGGGAGGGTGGACAGCTGACAGCTGCTTCATCAGCAGCTGTCAGAAGGAAGGAGGCGATGGCGAGATGGCATCGATGGCGTTGACTGTGATGATCGCCCTACCGGACATCTGTGAAACAAGAGCTTGATTGCTCATCGGATTCCTTCGGTAGAAATACATATTCGCACTCTGATTAATTGGAGTGCTTCCCAGCCACTCTGAGGAGCTTCCTCTGATCAAGAATAGTGCGCGTGTATCTGACATCTGCTCCCCAACCCCCCAACCCCCACCCCCCACCCCCAACACCGCCTTCAGTCACCAGTATAGTAAAGTATGGCCAAACAACTCCCATGACTGACACAGAGTGGAGATGACCTCATCCGCAAATTATTCGGTTTGTTTTTATTTTAGTTCTTCCGTGTGATGAAGACAGTGAGAGGAGAGAGGCTCAAACCTGAGACTGGAGCCTGGGTGGGAGTGGAGACACAGGAGGGGAGGCTGGGCCACAGCACAGTAATGTGGAATTTCCACAGATCAGCACCTCCCCTCGCGCATTTGACCGAGTGAACATTGTGGCCTGGATTATTCAGCAACAGCAAACCAAGCATACTGGCTTATTTATAATTGCTTTTCTGTCTTTCAGGTGTTTGGTTTTTGTACTTTGCAGAGTTTATTTTGTTTGAATGTGAATTTGGACGGAGCTTCGGTCCCTGTGTGGGCACATTCTGCTGCCTAAGAGGCTGTTCTATGGGCACTGCCACCCCGTGCTGTGAGCGTTCCTCTCACGGAGCCGACAACCACACACACGGTCCACTGAATACACACGGCGGAATGTTTTCTCGGGTTCCTGAACAAGCTGCCAGAACGCGGGGCGAAACGTCGGACGTCACGTGGCACGACCCTGAAGCACGCCGGAGAGTTGTAGCGGCACAAGCGCCAAAAACCTGCGCAGTGGTTTCATTCAAGAGACATCTTGCATCGGTGGTGCAAAATGTAGAATAAGTAAATGTTGTGGATCTCCAACACACCGGTGTGCTGTACCAGTAACCAATTGGCTTGTTCTCTTTACATGACAAACCTTACTAATTAGCTGTGTCGGATGGTGGCGGCTTTAACGATGGATTCATATTTACGCGATCTAACCTAAAAAAAAACCTGTATTATGGATGATATTGGTCGCGAAAGCTTACGTGTTAAAATGTAGAATAAGATTCATGGGGCTCAGCTTGTCACGTGGTAAGACAGACATCCCTTTGTTGTAATGAATGCATCTATGCATGTTGAACTTATATCGCTCCGTACGTAGTTATAGGGCGCGCAAAATTTGTTTTTTATGTTTGCAATTATTAATGGAAATTAGCCCAACATTCTAATGCAGGACCCACCTGTAAAACAGTCTTAAAACTTAAGCTTTCCTGGATAGGACACAATTATTATATAATGTGAGTTAACAAGGTGCCGCCTAAGTGATGATATACGAACTTTTATATTAAGTTACAGGTTCATTTAAATAAAAACAGGTTTTTTTTCCACATCTCAAACATAACACAACACAGTACTGTTCTGTACGTGTAATTTGCCTGTTATTTTATAATGATTATTTTTATTACATTTCTTATTTAGTGTTTCCATGCTCAGAAAATGGTGGGGATTTTCTCGTCAACATTTGCAGCCGTGAGCCAATGGTCACAAATCCCCGTTCCCACAGTAGTTGCCAGTAGTTGTTTGTACGATACAACCTTGGTGGCATCCAAACACATATTGTGTTCATTAAATTCAATGTGTCCTTGCGAACACGGCCAATATTGCTCTTTGGTACAAAAACACAACGCTGTTTACAAATGTTTAACCCAGTACATATATATACTCACCCAGAAGTAGTTATGGGCAAAGCTTCACGTAATGCTACACCCACAGGCAGCTAACGTCAATCAGCACCGCCTTCTTTACGAAGAACACTGCCAAAATAAATAGACTGCATCTTTTTTCGTTGAATGCAATCATTATAAGTCGTGATCTTGGTGTCCCAGACGCAGCTTAGTTTCGTCAGTATTTCCATCAGCATTGCATAACAGTGCAACAGTGATGTTTTGTTGAAGTTTCAGGTAGGCCTCGGCAAGGTAAGGTAAAAGGTAAAAACAACGAGCCTACCTTTACCCTACCTATTACCCTTACCCCATACAAACTACCCGATTACAGGGTAATTACTGGGGTACTACTACACATGAAAAAGGTTTATAACAGGTAAATGCTAGGAAGAGGGCTTTATTCATATAGAATACTCCCGATGACTCCAATTTTAAATGGAGGCCACGGACTGCACCACGGAGCTTTTAGCGAGCGGTAAACAAGGTATTCACCAGGTAATACTTCGCGCTACCTTTACCCTGCCCTTTACCTTACCCCTTGGCATGGTCGACACCTTTACTCTGTTACCCGGTAAAAAGGGTAAACTACTTTACCTTGCCGAGGCCTAGTTTCAGGCAACAATGGACGTGTATTGTTATACCCAATTACAATCGTTCAAATGGCTGAGAGGGCCATGTCTACATTGAAAGTTTGCGTTTCGTCTGATGCCCTTCCGCTCCCACCTCCGATTAGCAGGGTTGGTTACGTGATGAATTCATACATCACGTTAACTATCTATATATATCCGATATTGCCTTTAAAAATTTGTTATTTTGTAATTAATCCGAAGCTCACCCTTCGTAGAGTATGCCGTGCGGCAAGGCAAGTTGTCTGTGATGTTGTCGCGTGTTGTTGCCTCGGGGTCATGTTGACCCCTCGACGTGGACAAATATCGCAGCTTTCCAGAGTCATTGCAACATTATCCCCCTCGCTCTGCATTTACCTTTAAACAATTAATCATGGAACATTACGGCTCACACGTGGCACAAGGCGTGATGATGAATATGTGCAAACATGCCAAAAACAATATATTGCTACTCCTACGGTAAAATAGAAATACTGTAACAGGTTGTTTATCCCTGCCGCTAGGAGAAAATTAACGTGTTGACATTTTGGCTCACTGGCCTCCAAGACACATTTTCTCTGTTTCCATGGCGGTTTACTTAACTTGAGATGTATTTACACGTGTAACATACGCCAACTCTATGTGTGTGTCTATATGTAAAGTAAGGGTGACAATATTTCTAGCTGTTACGGTATTGCAGCCACAGTATGCACTTGTTGTAGACTTGCATTGAGTTTGAGCACATTAACCTAAACGGTCAATCGTATTATTTTAATACACGCTTAATGAGCACGGGCAGAGCAGCGGCACACAGTGATGTGAGCACTGCTTTACGAACCCGCCATCCTGAGAAATCTATATGAACTGTCCATGGCCACCGCGTTCACCAACCCACACCGACCGGTGCGGTGAAGTATGGTCAAACAAACCCCGCACGACATGGGGAGGCCTTCATCCAGCAGTCGATTTACAAAGAGCTGTACACACACATACGACGACTAGTCCACCTTCGCACTCTTAGGTTTTTTCGGTAAAATCATGGAGGTAAAAAATAAAATAAATAATAGAAATAATAGAAATAAAATAGTAAATCACGACGTTTCGGAGGCAACACAAGTCTCCGTCATCAGGTGGGACCGTCACAGCTGAATTTCTATTATTTCTTATTTATTTTATTTTTTACCTACGTGATTTTACCGAAAAAAACCTAACAGTATGAATCCTTGCAGTCACGAAAGTTTCAAATCTAGAACTAGTCCACCTTCGTGCCTGTAAAACGAGGCCAAAATGACTTGTCCGTGTGCCCAAGCCTCGGCTGGCCCTGTGGTGGTGCACAGCGTAGCCCAACAATTGACTTAAAGCTTTCGTGACTGCAGGAATTCATATTCGTGGTTCTTTCGGTAAAGCCACGAAGATCGATCAAATCATGAAACAATTAAAAAATAACAATATCACGACGTTTCGATCGCAACACAAGCAATCGTCATCAGGTGAGAAATATCACGGGAGAGCTTCTGAGAAGAGATGGTGGGAGCGCTGCGAAGGTAAGGAGTTGTTCTCAGCAGCTCTCCAGCGATATGTCTCACCTGATGACGATGGCTTGTGTTGCGATCGAAACGTCGTGATGTTATTATTTTTGTATTATTTGATCTATCTACGTGGTTTCACCGAAAGACCCAAGAATATAAATTTCGATTTAAAGCTTTCGTGACTGCAGGGATTCATCTTCTTGGTTCTTTCGGTAAAGTCACGTAGAAGGGAAATAGTAAAATAATAAAAAT